CCAGGGGCTTCCACACTAGAGACAGAAGCCCCACTGTGGTGGGCACAGTCCTGGCAGCAGAGCACATAGCACTTTTGTTCAGACAGGGATCTCCCTATAGGAGCCTGCTGGCCTCAACTCCAGGGCCAAAGCCATCCTTCTGCCTTAGACTCCCACCAAGCTAGGTGCTGCATGAGGGTCTCAGGGGTCAGCCTTGGGAAGGTGGCTGGGAGCCCAGTGGCTAGAAGAGGAGGTAGATTCTGTTTCCCATCTCTTCTCACACAGCCCCTGAAGGCCTGTCTTCTGAGAAGGAGCTGATAATAAGAAGGGGAGGCAGCAACCAGGGCTGGGGCGGTGGCTGTGCCTACACCCTGTCCTCTGCTCCTCTGGACACTTCATTTCTCATCTTTATGTGAAAACATGGAGGCTTGACCCCCACCCACAGGCAGGAAGGGGTGGGGGAACAGGGTGGCAGGAGGGAGCCCAGCCTCACCCAGCCTAGGGGTCACTCGTGCATAGCCATCACCTTGGCGGGGTGGGTCAGGAAAAGCCACACCCAGAGGTAGACACCGAGGCTGGCTGGCCCACCAACCCGGGTGCTTCCCAAGGTCTTGGGGAGAGCCGCTGTGGGACAGAGGGTGGGGTGGTGGCTGGAAGCCAGGGCTAAACAGCCTCAGCATCCGCGTGTGCAGAAGGGTGATAAGGAGACCTCTTCGGGTGGCACCGCCCTCCCCAGACTCCAGCCCATGGGGCCTTCTGGCATCTGACAGGCCCAGGACTCCCCATCCCCTCTTCCTCCCTAGCCCAGTGCAGCCCCTGGAGGACGCAGCCTTCTCCTGGCCGGGGCCCTGCAGGCTGAGGTGGGCCTGGAGGGGGCTGGCAGGGAGCCCGCCCACGGCTCTGGGGCTGCAGGCAGTCACAGCTGCTGACTCTGGGACTGCTATGGTGGCTCCCAGGGTCACTTTCACTCAGAACTCAGAGTCCGCTGGTCACTCTGAGGTGCCCAGCAGGGCTCCCAGGATGGTCTTTCCTTGGTTGAGACCTCTGTTGCCCATTTGTGCAGGCCAGCCTGATGCCCCTGGGGACACCATAGGCCCTGGCAGTGCTGAAGCTAGGTTTCCCCGAAGTGCCCAGTGCTTCAGGTGCCACAGCCAGCTGCTCATGGGTGGCAGATGTGGGCGGACAGAGTAGAGGCCAAGGGTAGGAGCAGAGGGATTGGCTCTGGGGTGGTGACACCAGGAAGGTTGAGATGGCCTGGCAGCTTAAGAGGCTGAGGCAGGAGGATCTTGAGTCCAAAGCCAGCTTCAGGGGCTGGGGATGTGGCTCAAGCAGTAGCGCGCTCACCTGGCATGCGTGCGGCCCGGGTTCGATCCTCAGCACCACACACACAAAAAAAACAAAGATGTTGTGTCCGCCGATAACTAAAAAAATTAATAAATATTAAAAAAATTCTCTGTGTCTCTCTCTCTTTAAAAAAAAAATAATAACAAAGCCAGCTTCAGCAACTTAGCGAGGCCTTAAACAACTCAGCAAGACCCTGTGTCCAAAAAAACTATTTTTAAAAGGGCTGTGGCTGTGGCTCAGTGGTCGAGCACCCCTGGTTTCAATCCCCAAAAAAGTAAATAAATAAATAAGAAGGTTGGGGTCATCAGTAACCACCGGACCAATGTGGTGCCAGCCTCTCAGCGGTGAAGACATCTGAGGTCGGACACTTGCTGCTTCTTTGGCAAAACTGAGATGAAGAGATGGGCTGTGGGGATCAGCTCTGTGGTCCCTGCACACACAGTGGCTGGTGCCAGACGCTACGGCACGCACCTGTCACCCCAGGAGGTGTTTCTTCCTATTGCAGGAACTCCTGTGGAAGGGTCCCCAGGGACACCCTGGAGCGGAGGACCCCTTGAGAAGCATCAACAGACACCAAGACCCCTGGGGAAGGCCGCATAAAAGGGATCAAGTGGACACCTAAGTGGGGGCCCCAACCAGACGGCTGACCTTCACAGGCTCTGGGTGAACTGTCACATGAGATGTCCCCTGCCGGGTTTTTCTGCCACAAGCATTCAGCTTGGAGCCCAACCAGGAGGAAACAGGCAGACAGCACTCGTTCTGAAGGCCAGTCTGTGACAGCCCTGAAAAGGTCAGTGCGACGACACCCAAAGAAGGACGGCTCCAGAGTAAAGAGTGGCGAAGGCCGGGATGGCCACCCCAGGGCATCCCCCGGTCAGATCTATATTCCAAGGACAGGTGGGGACGCGTATCGGACATCATGGCTATGTCGTGCTTCTCTAGGAAAATGGCCTTGCTCTGAGGAGCCACTATGGAAGTGTCTAGGGCCACACTGTCACATCTAGAACTAGAGCTGATTGATGAACTAACTAATGGAGGTGCAGACAGGGCACACCATGACCAGTTCCTGGGCGTGCGCACACACCAAGAAAATCCTTGACTCTGGGGGAAGGAGGCACTGTGTTGGTCACACTCTTGCAACTCTTCCCCAGATCTGAAGTTTTTCTGACTACAAGTTGAGGGAACATCTATGAAGATACACCAGACATTCTAGTGTGTGTGTGGTGTGTGTGTGTGTGTGTGCGTGTGCGTGTGCGTGTGCATGTGTGTGTTGCTGGGAATTGAACCCAGGGCCTTGTGCATGTGAAGCAAGCACTCCACCAACTGAGCTATATCCCTGGTCCTTTTTTTAGTATTTTTTTTAGTTGTAGATGGACACAATACCTTTATATCATTTGTTTATTTTTATGTGGTGCCTTGGATCAAATCCAGTGCCTCACACATGCTAGTCAAGTGCTCTACCACTGAGCCACAACCCAGCCCTGGACATTCTTTGTGTGTGTGTGTGTGTGTGTGTGTGTGCGCGTGTGCGCGCGCGCACACGCACATACTGGCTTTGGCACCCAGGGCCTCACACGCACTAGGCAAGTGCTCTTCACTGAGCCACCTCCCCAGGGCCGACACCATGACATTTTAACAGGGGTTTGACCCAGTGGAATTTTAGGTGATGCTTCCTATCTTTCTCTTTTCTTTACTGACTGGGTCTGAGCATCTACTAGCTTTACAATCAGAATTTGCTTACCATTTCAGAAACATTTCATATTGCATTAAAATTTCAGCATGGAGTTGGAGTTACAGTTCAGTGAGAGGGTGCGTGATCCTAGCATGTACAAGGTGCTGAAGTCAATCCACAGCACCAAAAACAAACACATAAAACTTAATTTAAAAATGGAGGGCATGGGGCTGAGGCTGTGGCTCAGCGGTAGAGTGCTCGCCGAGCACATGCGATCCTCAGCACCACATAAAAGTAAATAAATAAAATAAAGGTATTGTGTCCATCTACTACTGAAAAATACATATTTTTAAAAAAAATGGAGGGCGTGGGCTGGGCTGGGGCTCAGTGGTGGAGCACTTGCCGAGCATGTGTGAGGCCCTGGGTTCAGCACCGCATATAAATACATAAAATAAAGGTCCATCAACAAATACATACAAAATAACTAAAATTAAAAAAAAAATAAATGGAGGGCTGGAGTTGTGGATCAGTGGTATAGCACTTGCCTGGCATGTATGAGGCCCTGCCTGGGTTCGATCCTCAGCATCACATATAAATATAAAAATGGAAGATCCATTGACAACTTAAAAAAAAAGGTGTGGTGGTACACACCTGTAATCTTAGCGATTCGGAGGCTGAGGCAGGAGGATCATGAGTTCAAAGCCGGCTTCAACAACTTAGTAAGGCATTTAGCAACTCAGCAAGATCCAGTGTCTAAATAAAACACATAAAAGGGCTGGGGATGTAGCTCAGTGGCAAAGTGCCCCTGAGTTCAATCCTCAGTACTTGTGGGTGTAGGGGAGGTTAGCCAGGTACAATGGCGCCCACTGGTAATCTCAGCTGCTCCAGAGGCTGAGGCAGGAGGAACACTTGAGCCCAGAAGTTTGAGGGCAACACAGTGAGATCCGGTCTCAAAATAAATAAATAAACAATAAATAACATAAAACAAGCAGCGCTCCTGTAATCCCAGCGACTCTGGAGGCCGAGGGAGGAGGACCGCAATTCCCAGTCAGCCTGGGCTACTCAGCAACGCCCTGCATCAAAATGAAATGAAATAAAACAAAATTGAACAAATGGCTGGGGTCGTGGCTCTGCGGCTGAACACTGGGGTCAGTCCTTAGTAAAAACTGACTGAATAAATAGCACTAGGAATGTAGCTCAGGGGTAAAAGCCCCCGAAGGTTCAATCCCCAGCACCAAAGACAAAAAAACCAAAGCAACAGTGCAGATCTATTTTCTAGGTGTTTCCATGCCTAAGAAGGACAGAGGCTTCCGGAGGCCACCTCCAGATAAAAACTAAAAACCCAACCTCCCACCTCCCCAGCCCAGCACCACCAGGGCCAGGCTGGAGATCATGGCCAGAATGAGGATGGACTCTTGACAAGTGGCCTGGGGTCTCCACACTTCACTCCCCTTCCCCAGAGCTCCAGGGACAAGGACAACAGGGTTCTGAAACCCAGCAGAACTCTAGAGGCACTGTCTGGGAGGGGTGGGGTGAGTGACAAGAAGGGAGCCCCCCAGGTCCTCCCACCTCCTGTGCCCCTCCCCCAGAGCTGGCTGTGGAGGCTGCTGGGGCTGGGTGGAGGGGGAGCCCGTGCTCTCTGCATTCTCCCCACCCGTCCCCGTCACTGACCGGACTGAAGGGTGCAGGTGCTCAGGCAGTCCAGGGGTTAACGTCCCAGCAGAGAATCTGCGTGGGACGAAGGGGTCAGATGCTCCTCCTGGACGTGGACAGGCACACAGGCTGCTATTCCGGGGCTCTGATGGAGGTTGTCTATTTATAGCTGCAGGGAGGGGGGCGCTCACCACTCAGGCGGCAGAGAGGCTGCCCTGCTGCAATGTCACCATTGTCACCGCTGCTGCAGGCTGCCGGCACCTGTCACTACTGCAGAGGACAGAGGGCCCCCAGGCCATCAGGAACCCCAGGGCCGTGGGGCACTGCGTGAAGCCAGGAGGTGGCTGGCCAGATGGGGAGCACCGTGGAGCCCCCCGGGGGTGCATACCTGCACCTGGGTGCTGTGACGTCCCCAGTGGGCACAGCCCGGGTACTGCAGCTGGCCTTTGGCTGCACCACCTTCAGCCTGGTTGCCCACCGGGGTGGCTTTGCGGGCGTCCAGGGCACCTTCTGCATGGCTGCCTGGGGCTTCTGCTTCGCAGTGTCTCTCCTGGTGGTGGCCTGTGAGTTCACACAGCTCCACGGTTGTCTCCGCCTCTCCTGGGGCAACTTCACAGCGGCCTTCGCCATGCTGGCCACGCTGCTGTGTGCCACGGCTGCTGTCGTCTACCCACTGTACTTCACCCGGCTGGAGTGTCCACCTGAGCCTGCTGGCTGCGCAGCTAGGGACTTCCGCCTGGCGGCCAGCGTCTTTGCTGGGCTCCTCTTCCTGGCCTACGCAGCGGAGGTGGCCCTAACACGGGCCCGGCCTGGCCAGGTGGCCAGCTACATGGCCACGGTGTCAGGGCTTCTCAAGATCGTCCAGGCCTTTGTGGCCTGCATCATCTTTGGGGCACTGGTCCATGACAGCCGCTATGGGCGCTACATGGCCACCCAGTGGTGTGTGGCTGTCTATAGCTTGTGCTTCCTGGCCACAGTGGCCGTGGTGGCTCTGAGTGTGATGGGCCACACGGGGGGCCTGGGCTGCCCCTTCGACCGCCTGGTGGTGGTGTACACCTTCCTGGCTGTGCTCCTGTACCTCAGCGCCGCTGTGATCTGGCCGGTCTTCTGTTTTGATCCCAAGTACGGGGAGCCCAGGAAGCCCCCCGATTGCCCCCGCGGCAGCTGCCCCTGGGACAGCCAGCTGGTGGTAGCCATCTTCACCTACGTCAATCTGCTCCTCTACATCGTCGACCTTGCCTACTCCCAGAGGATCCGCTTCGTGCCCACCCTGTAGCCTGGCAAGTGGCCACTGGCCCACCTCCACGCTCTGGCTGGGGGTGACAGGCATGCGTGGGTGACCCAGGTGAACAGACGTGAGGGCGAGCAGGAGGGAGTCCGAGGGCTTGGAGTAGACGCACGCAACGGGCAGAGGACGCTCCTGGACTTCTGGCTCCACTCTGAGGTCGGGCTGGATGGGGTCCGAGGAAGGGTAGGGGCAGAGGCCCTGAGCAGGAAGACAGGGCAGCTCTCTTCCCATCTCTTCCCGTCTCCGTCTGTTTCTAATCTCTCTCTGTCTCTGTGTTTCTCTCTCTCTCTCCATTTCCCAGTCCTCCCTGGGTCCAATACTGACCACTGTAATGTGGGAAACCTTGGAGCAGGTGCTGCTGTGACCCATTTTATAGATGGGGACGCGCAGGCTAAATGGACTTCAGAGGTGGACCAGCATGTCCTTCAGTGTCTGGACATGGCACTCACACTGGGTAACATGTTAGAAAGCGGACGATTTCCAGAGGTGTGGGAAGGGTCACACACAAGCCCAGGAGCACCAGAGGCAGGCCCATGGGGTCGACTGAAACCTCCTCCTCCTTTGAAGGGGCAGTGCCCGGAACCCTGCGAAGGGAGCTCTGCTGGAAACTGCACCAGCTCACAGAGAAGGAGCCCAGAAATCAGGACCCTGCTTCACTGGCCTCTGGGGAGCCTCCCGGTGGCCACAGCCACTGGAAGCCAAGTGAGGACTGTGCTATGGCCACCCAGGGCTGCCTTCCAGAGCTCAGTGGCTGGAGATGGTGCTGGTGGCTTGGAAGGGCCTGCTGAGCTGGCAGCACCACCAGGAGCAGAGTGCCAAGGTGTTGGGTTCCCAGTGATGGAGGCCCTGCCCAATGCCCACCATGGGCTGTGACGTAGCAGCTTCTGTAGAGACTCCTGCGGGAGGCTGGCCTGGTGGGCAGTCCTGACACGGGGTAAGGGCCCAGCCTGGGGCAGTCACTAGAACATGGAGCCTGGGCACCAGGCATCTAGCTGCCTGCTGCTCCTGACCCTCAGGGCCCACTGGCACCAACATCCTCCACGCTCCAGCCAGCTTCTCCTGCACAAGAGCCCAGCCCAGGGCAGGCCACCGGCCACCAGGGCAGGCCACCGGCCACCAGAGCAGGAGCACGTGTGCAGCAGCTTGTCGGTCCCTCAGCTCATGGCTGTTCCCAGGACCCTGAGCAGTAAATAAAAGGAGATTCATTTGCACCCCAGCTGTGGCTAAGCCTTCTTTGCTGAGGGGCTGTGCCCAGTTACACCTCCTGGGCTCCCGGCATGCCCTGGGAGGAGGGTCTGCACTGGGGCCTGGCTGAAGGAAGACGTGGCCCTAGGAGCACCCTGGGCTCTGGAGTGCAGGGAAGGCTGGGCCTCATCTCCTGAGGAACTGGGCTCCTCCTTGGTGGGTGACAGTCCAGGAGGGCTCAGATGGGCCAGTGGGGAGAAGGAGGGTCAGCTCAGTCCCCTCCTTCCTAGAGGCCTTGGCACTCATCCCACACCTCCACCTGGGAGTCTCCGAGACTTGGGGCATGGGCAGAGGGGCTGCTGCCCTTTCTGGATAGCCCTTTCTGACAGCTTCTGAGCAGCCCCGAGGCAGGCCCCGATGGTCCTGTGGTACCACGTAAGCCCAGTGGCCTGGGCTGGCTGACTGGAGAGGGTACCCTTGAGTCAGTCAACAAGCTGGGTCTGGACCAATGTCTTCTACTTGGAGGGGGTGAGGGCTTAGGGCTCAACAGCAGATCCCCAAGGGCAGGTAGACAGCTGCTGGGTCTTGGGGCTGAGAAGGCTGGGGTCAGGAGGTCATGTCACAGGTGGGCCACGTCCATCCTGACTCTCAGGGGAGGGCTGGACATGATCCAGGAGGGACCCTGCTTTCTTCTTTCCTTCCTCCGATAGACAAAGCTTTGAAACAAAGTACCTGTCACCAAGCCCCCAGTCTCCTCAATGGCCCAGGGGCTTTCTGCCCCCCGCACCCACGCCACCCGAATTTCAGAGATCCTGAGGTAAGGCAGAGGAGGGGCCTGGGAGAAGGGCTTTGGGAGGCTCGTCTCAGGGCTGGTCCTGCCATGGTTACTCCCTGGACCAGAGGATGGTCTTTGCTTTGTTTTTAGGAAAGAGTAAGATGTGTTGTTACCACTTGGAGAACAGTGCCCTTTACACAGGGAGCTCTGTTCTAGGAGTGTAAAGTAGACCTGGCTTCCTGTCGTGGTCTGAGCTGCACTGTGGAAACCCACCATTACCCAGGCCCTCCCTTGGAGTGCAAAGACCAAACTCATCCCTCCCAAACAGGGCCCTGGTGTTGGTGGTAACAGTTAAAGGTCAAGGAGAAGGAAACCAGGGGGACAGGATGCCAGAGTTTGCAGCCAGGCCTGGAGGACAAACACATCTTAATCATTCTCAGGTTATTTTCTGAAGCAGCTTGTCCTCACCCTTTTTTTTTGGGGGGGGGGGTGTTTGGTAATCCGGAATGGAACCCAGAGGTGCTTGACCACTGAGCCACATCCCCAGCCCTTTTTCAAATATTTTATTTAGAGACAGGATCTCACTAAATTGCACAGGGCCTCACTAAGTTGCTGAGGCTGGCTTTAAACCTTTGAACTCTGGTGACCCTCCTGCCTCAGCCTCCAGAGCCACTGGGATTACAGGCGTTGCCACTGCACCTGGCCCACAGCTGGTCCTCATTTAAGACACACAACAGAAAAAAAAATGATACAGGACACCTCTGCCCTCCGTGGGGGATGGGTTGTCGTGGTGATCACTTCTACTATGCCATGGTCCTAGACTATCCTGCAGCCCCAACACAGGGAAATAGGTCCTGGGCATGCCCTGGGGCGCGGGAAGGATGACTACAGTCCTGTTCTCCCTAAAACCCAGGGCCTAAGAGTTCCAGGAACTTGGGGAGCTGGGGCACTACAGGATCGTCCTCCCCAATTTACGAGTTGAACACCACCTGTTCGGAGTGTGTGTAGAGGCCTGTGACCACAGAGCGGCCAGCTTCCAAAGGCGGTCTGCGAGGAAGCTCTACCGAGGAGACACCCACCAGGAGGGGTCTCCGGGCGGCTGCCTGGAAGCGCTAGCGCCTCCCACCCCCGGCGGCCGGAGTGGGGCGGGGCCGACCGGCCGGCCTCCGGAATGATGCAACACCCCAGGCTCCGGTCGCCGCTCCCGATTGGCCGGCGCGCGGCGGCTGCACCGAGGATTGGCTGGGGCAGAGGAGGGCGGGGCCGGGGCGCGGGTGCCGCGTGGCGGGCGCGGCGCTGCGGCGGGACAGCCTGCGCGGGTTTAGGTGGGCTGGGGTGCCGCGGGCGTTCTGCTGCTGGGGCGCGGGCAGGCGGGGGCTCGGACGTGGAGGGCCTCCTGGCGCTGGGTTCTCTCCCGGTCCTCTCTCATTCCCGGCGGCTCCCTGGCTCGTCCAGAGAGCTCGCGACCCTCGACAGCGGGCCGGGGACTGCGTTGTTATGGGCGGGGGGGGGGGGGGGCGGGGACAGTTACCGAGCGGGACGGATGGGCAACATCCGGTTAGGCTGGCTGGGTTAGGAGGTAGGGGGGCGCCTGGCCGCCTGAAGAGTGGCCAGCCCTGGTGCTGACCACCTAACTTCCAGCTCTCCATCCTGCCCTGCAGAGCCGAAACCAGCTGTGAGGGCTTCGGGCTTCCGGCCTCCAGGCGTCATGAGCGTGGGCTTCATCGGGGCTGGCCAGCTGGCCTTCGCTCTAGCCAAGGGCTTCACATCAGCAGGTAGACTCTGGGGTCAAGAAGGGACCAAGTGGATGAGGTTGGGCCCCCTTACCCTGGGTAGGGCTGGGGCTGAAGGTGGGGGTCTGAGTTACTTGGCTTGAGTCCTGAGGGATTGGAAGCTTCCATATGTTTGGGGTTCCTCTTTTATCCTGAGGGTGGGATTTCTCTGCAGCCTCTTTCCCCCAAAGGTGGGAGAGAGAGGCCGGAATTGGCCTTGAGGGAGGAAAACTTGTCTTGCCCACCCCAGGTATCCTGGCTGCCCACAAGATAATGGCCAGTTCCCCAGACATGGACCTGGCCACAGTTTCTGCCCTCAGGGTAGGTACTGGGCAGAGGGTAGGCTGGGTTCCTAGAGAATCAGTGTCTGGGGCTGGGTGTTGGGCAGCCCTGACAGTGGCTGGGCCTGGGCTGGTCTGTCTCCAGGTCCTGCCTCCTGGCCCTGCCTATGGCTTCCATTGCTGGTGGTATGCAAGGCTGGTGGGAGCAGGGAGCTCTGGGAGTCAGCTCACAGGGAGCCCTGGGAGTCAGGCAGATGGGGCCATAGCAGAAGGCCAGACAAGACACACCTGGGGCTGAATAGAGCTTCAGTTTGTCACCTCTGAGTCAGGATTCCAGATCTAAGGGTCGGCAAGCTTTCAACTGGAGACTGTTACCCATACCTGAAGAGCAGGCATCTCTGGAGGCTGCATCCTGAGATGGGGGAGGGGGTTGGGGTTGTGGCTTGCATGCAGTGTCCCTTTTCTGTCTGCAAAGGGGACTCGATGAAGAACAGAGTGCTTCCTGCATTTCTGGGTGAAAAGGCAGCTGAGGGTGTTCCAGGCTCTGTGCTGTGGGCCCTCAGCTCAGCCTGTAACTGGCCCAGCAGCCTCTGGGTTAAGCAGAGGGGAGGACAACTTCTGGGGCAGTCTGAGTTGCCTTACATTTCTGCAGAAGATAGGGGTGAACCTGACACCCCACAACAAGGAGACTGTGCGGCACAGTGACGTGCTCTTCCTGGCCGTGAAGCCGCATATCATCCCCTTCATCCTGGATGAGATTGGCACTGACATCGAGGACAGGCACATCGTGGTGTCCTGTGCAGCTGGTGTCACCATCAGCTCCGTTGAGAAGGTGGGTGCTGTGGGCTGGGTTCACGGGGCCTGCTGCGTGGGGGTGGGGACGTGGAGTGCACACAGGAACTCCATGCCTGGGCTCGCCATCTGTGAGTGGGCAGGAAGTGTTCCACTAGGGCAGCACGTCCATACGTATGCCTACCTGAGGTGAGGATGGGTGGCCAAGGCCAGGGTGACACACCCCGTTTCTTCTCCAGAAACTGACAGCATTTCGACCAGCGCCCAAGGTTATTCGGTGCATGACCAACACCCCAGTTGTGGTGCGAGAGGGGGTTACCGTATATGCCACGGGCACCCATGCCCAAGTGGAGGATGGCAGGCTCCTGGAACAGCTCCTAGGCAGCGTGGGCTTCTGCACAGAGGTGGAGGAGGACCTGATTGATGCTGTCACAGGGCTCAGTGGCAGTGGCCCTGCCTATGTGAGGGCTGGTAGTAGTGGGTGGTGACTGGGGGGAGTTGAAAGTTCCTAGGGTTCTGGGGTACCCTCTGTTCCTGCTTCCCTTGGAGGGCTGGGTGGGAACTTCATGGCTGTGGGAACTGGTGCTCTCTTGCACTGAGCTCTGGGCCACAGAGGGAGAGGAAGAGAGGCCAGGACTGTGGCTCAGGGTGCCTTCTCCTTGCAGGCATTCACTGCCCTGGATGCCCTGGCTGATGGCGGTGTTAAAATGGGACTTCCAAGGCGCCTGGCAGTCCGCCTTGGGGCCCAGGCCCTTCTGGTCAGTGTTTCCTGATCCTCTGGTGAGGGTGGTTCATTGCCAGCTCTGACACTGTACACAGGGGCAGACGGGTGGGGAGTTGGCTATTACTGTGCTGGAGTGGCTGGGGACTGTGCTTGCAGAGGCAGGGGGATGGCCCATCCCCATTAGTACCTCTCTGGCTGCAGGGAGCCGCCAGGATGCTACTGGACTCGGAAGAGCACCCAGGCCAGCTCAAAGACAACGTCTGCTCTCCCGGCGGGGCCACCATCCACGCCCTGCACGTGTTGGAGAGTGGGGGCTTCCGCTCCCTGCTCATCAATGCTGTGGAGGCCTCCTGCATCCGCACACGGTGAGGACCTCTACTGCCCCATCCTGCTGCCCATTCCAGCACACTATAGCCTTGGCCCTACAGGGGCAGCTCAGGGCAAATTATTTATTGAGCTGTGGCCTAGACTTGGGCAGGACACAAGGAACACCGAGCTTCCTGGAGTCACTCTGAAGTGCCCCCCTCACCCCCCTCCATAGTCCTGTGGGCGTCTACATGTGACGAAAGCTTCTCCAGGCTGCACTGTCGTCCCTGTGCAGTTTCATCAACATGGCCAGAAGACTGGGTTGGAAGGGCAGCCTGGCATGTCAGAGAACCCTGGGGTCCGGCTTCAACACCCTCCTGCCCTGTCTGGGGATTAAGGGAGTTAGATAAGTGTCCTGGCCCAAGGAAAGCTTGGTGAGAGTTGAAAGAAAACTGCTGGGATTCTGCGGCTGGTCCAAAGCGGAGCCAAGTCTACAGGGTGGCCGGCAGCACCTTTCTGGCCACAGTGCCCACTGGCTAGTGCAAACTCCCAGACTACTGAGTGGCACTGCCCGACAGCAAGCCCCACGCAGGGCTGCACTGCAGGGGAGACAGGAGTGGCAGGAGGCTAGTCCTGCAGTCAGGTAGCGAGAGCTCAGGGACTGAGGCATGCCACAGAGAGATGTGTGACCCTGAGCCACCTTGAATGGGGTTAGTGGGAGCCCTGCAGCTGTGCAGGGAAGGCAGGTCGTATGGCACAGCACCACTGAGGTGGGCAGACCCTAGGAGCTGTGGCCTCCAGAAGGAGGCAGAGGCCTGAGCCCAACCCTTGCTGCCTGTCCAGGGAACTGCAGACCATGGCCGACCAGGAGAAGGTCTCACCTGCTGCCATCAAGAAGACTGTTCTGGACAAGGTGAAGCTGGACTCCCCTGCAGGGGCCTCTCTGTCCTCTGGCCCTGCCAAGCCACTGGCCCGCAACCTGGCCTCGGCAGGCAAGGAATGATGCACCCTGCCTCCACCTGCTCTCCCTCCCTCCCTCCCCTCCTCCTCTTGTTATTTTGCCCACCCTGGGCCTGGAGTCCTTGGATTCAATAGATCCTCCCACCTGAGCCTCCAAGTGCTCAGACTGCACGTGCATACTACCGTGCCCAGCCTTTCTCTCCACTTCTTGCTCTCCTGGCTCCAGGCTCTTGTCCTGGGGGGTCTCCAACCCTTCAATGGGCATCTGCCCACAGTCTGGGTCAGCCAGGGTTGTGGCCAGGGAGGGGCATATCCCCTTTCACTGGGAGCCTCCATGATTCCCAGGCTTCAGCCCATAACAGGGATGGGCTCTTTGACCTCCTCACACCCCGAGCTTTTTATATAGCTGTAGCCTGAGGTCTTCACCCCCCTCAACCCCAGTGTCAGCTGGTGTGGGCTTGCCCGTTCTTTTTGCAAAGGTCAGTGGTAGAGCACCTGGCATGGCAAGGCCCTGGTTCCGTTCCTAGCACCCAACACAGAAAGACCCAAGGGCCCTTTTCCACTCCCCACTCACCCTCCCTCCTGTGTGCTGGCAGAGGATCACGGGCGTCTTGAGCTTGGTGCCAGGGACCCAAGTTGCCTTGGCCAGCTGCCCAGCTTCCTCAATCCTGTCGAGTATTTGGGAAGAGGACTCCTTGGGTAGCTGCTGAACTTCCAGTGACCACCAGCACACTCAGGCCATCACACTCCTGATCTGCCTGGTGGGGTGCGTCACTTCCCTCCCGACCTTTAGGTTGAATAAACTGTTTTCTGAAAGCTCTCAGTGCCCTGACTTCTAACTGCCACTTGTGAGGGAGGCCTCTGCACCCGAGAGTGTAATGCTGAGGGCCTAGCCAGCAACTCGTGGTCCAAGCCCTGCAGTCCCAAGGCAGCCAGGCTAAGGCCCCCAGAAACAGAGGGCTGGGAGCTTCTGGGCCTCATCCATTACAGACTTGCCTAGAAGCTGGCACTGACAGGGGCTTACATCCAGCTGTGGCCAGCAGGGCCAGGTTCCTGATGAGAAACCCTTAAGGAAGGTATATTGGAGTTTGCTACAGAAATGTAACCGATAGAATACACACAGAGAGACCCTAAAATGGCAGGGGGTGGGCTAGCAGGTTGGAGATCCTAACGCATTGGCAGGACAAGCAGATGTTCTAGTTCAAAGTCTGGCAGGCAGGAAAAATCAATATGGTAGAGAAAATCTGAAACTGTGAGTTGGAAAAATTCTCCCTTACCTGGGAGAGGATTGGTCTTTTCTGTTACTTAGGCCTTCAACTGATTGGATGAGGCCCACCTACATCCTGAAGGGCAATCTGCCTTATTGAGTAACATTTTGCTCTTACCTGATGTTAAATTCAACTGATTTACATGTTCATCTCATGCAGAAATGCCTTAGCAAAAACACCAGAATAATGTTTGAATAGATATCTGGGTAAGATGTGATCCCATCAAGGCCACACATAAAGTGCACCCCCACAGGAGGCTCAGACTGGAGGACACAGCTGGGATCAGCAGCAGTGGACACTGCTCTTGTGAGGGGAAGTACCAGGCGGGTGGGGGCCTCTCTTGCGGTGGGGAGCGGATCAGAGGGCTTCTCAAGGGACTCTGCGGCAGGGCTTTGTTCCAAGTCCTCCTCCTCCTGGGCCCTTCAGAACCAAGGCCGGTTGGGGTAGGCAGAGGGGTACTTTGGGACAAGAATCCAGCCTGTCAAGGGGAGAAGAGACTTGGAGAGGAAAATGGGGGGTGGTATACAGCAAAACAGGAGGTTGAGGTCATATTCTTCCTTTTGGCCATGGAGTGCCCTGGTCCTCCCCACACACTGATGTGGACCAAGATGAGGGTGGGTGGGTTGGGATCTGGCAGCACAGCAGGTGAGCTGTGGACAAGCCAGGGATGGGCAAGGAGGACCAGGATGACATGTCTAGGCCCCTTCTGAGGCCTGGGCCCCAGTGCAGACCCCTAGGCTGTGTGGGTAGGTGGGCACTGGGATGGGCAGTGAACTTCCCAGCCTCATAGCCATGGGCACCCAAAATCATTCCCTTCTCTGAAAAAAGTCCTTGGCAGTATAGGAGACCCTGATGTCCTCCCCTGAGCAAAGAGACACCCAGAGGCCATGTGTCTGCCCGAGGACTCAACTGTTCCCTCCAGGTCAAGGTCAGTCCCTATTTGGGTACCTCCTGTCAGGCACTGACCGACAAAAAGATGAGTGCTTGGCACAGTGCACCTGGTCTGGGCATGAGGGAAGCCAGCAGGCCAGCCAGGTGCTTCGGGTGAGGCACGGTCCCGAAGAAGGCAGGGCCTGGGTCCAGACAGGCTCTGCAAGGAGGTACTGGTACCGGCTTATTCAGAACATGACTGGGACAGAGCTCCACAGTGGTGCATACCTATGATCCAGCACCTCAGGAGGCTGAGGCGGGAGGGATGCAAGTTCAAGGTCAGCCTGGGCAACTTAGATATTTAGATCTTGTCTTAAAAAGAATTAAAAAAAAAAAAAATATATATATGGATATATATCTTTTTTTTTTTTTTTTTAAAGGAAGGGGGCTGGGGCTGTGGCTCAAGCGGTAGCGCGCTCGCCTGGCATGTGTGCGGCCCAGGTTCGATCCTCAGCACCACATACAAACAAAGATGTTGTGTCCGCCGAAAACTAAAAAATAAATAAATAAAAGGAAGAAAAAATAATTATAAGGGCCTTGGACGTAGCAGTGCTTGTCTAGCACACATGAAGCCCTGGTTCAATCTCCAGCACACAAACAAACAAAAAATAAATAAATAAAATTAATCAATTAAAAATTATATAGAGAGAAGGTGCCAGATTTCAGCAGGCAGGCTTGTGAGGCTTCCCAGTGAGGCTCCTGGTTGGGACTGGGTTGGAGCCAGACCAAGCCTGAAAGAGGGTGTGGGGCAAGCTGTGGGGACATGTCTATCTGGAGCCAGCAAGAGGGTGAGCCTAGCAAAGCCAGGCAGGGACACACCTTCTCACAGATCCAGAGCAAGCTGATGAAGAGGGTTCCAGGGACGGGGAACCCTCTCGGTCCCTGATGCTGGCAGCGCTGATCCCTCCCAGTCTTGGGGTACAGCTTGGAGTGAGCCACACTGCCCTGGGCACAACAGCTGGAGGACGCAGTGGGAGAGCCAGCTCCTTCAGCTTGGTCCAGCTTCTCCTGTTTCCTAGCCGAAATGGCCCTTGACACCAGCCTGTTTGGCTGGGCCTTTGCCCTGTTCACCTCTGACAGTTCTTTCCTGTTCCAGGCCAACCCCTGTCTGTGGTCCCTGTGCAGGTCAGGCTTCAGAACAACTAGGTCAGAAACCCCTGCAGGCAAAGAAGGAGGATGTCCACCTGCACAGAGAGAAAGCAGGAATAACCCCTGTCTGGGTGTGGATTCCAGCCATGTCCCATGTACCCTCAGCCTCCCAGTGGCAATCAGGCTGGGGCCTGCTGCTCTCAGGAGCGGGCAGTGGAGTGCTAAGGTCAGCCCATGGAGGGTGCAGACTAGCCTGAGAAGGGGCTGTGGGGGCCAGAGGCTGTCAGAGTTTCCTGCAGATGGTAGTATTCAACTAGGGTGGGAAACAAGGTGCTGGAGGTGTGGAGAGAGCCTGACCAGGGAGTCAGGCCTGAGCATTGCCCCCAGCAGAGGTTCCACAAAGATCAGCCCCTAAGGTCCTTGCACCCTTGGGCTTTGCATCTCTTCCTTTATCATCCTCATCCTGGGTGCTGGCTCAAGGGGGCGCCACGGAGCCATTCCCCTCATCCTTTGTTTTTGTTTTTGGAACCAGGGATTGAACTCAAGGATGCTTAACCACCTAGCCACATCTCTAGCCTTTCTGTCTTTTCTTTTTCTTTTTTTTTTTTTCAATATTTTTATTTTAGTTTTAGTTGGACACAATACCTTTACTTTATTTTTATGTGGTGCTGAGGATTGAACCCAGGGCCTCGCACATGCTAGACGAGCCCTGCACCTCTGAGCCACAACTCAACCCCTCTTTTTTTTTTTTCCAAACATTTTAGTTGTAGATGGACAGTATGCCTTTATTTTATTTATTTATTTTTATGTGGTGCTGAGGATCAAAACCAGTGCCTCACATGTGCTAGGCAAGTGCTCTACCACTGAGCTACAACTCCAATCCATCCCTAGCCCTTTTAAAAATTTTGTTTTCTTCTTTCTTTCTTTCTTTCTTTTTTTGGTATCAGGGATTGAACTCAGGGGCACTCAACCACTGAACCACATCCCCAGCCCCTAAAATTTCTTATTTTTAAAAATATTTATTTATTTTTGTTGTAGTTGGACACAATACCTTTATTTAATTACTTTTATGTGGTGCTAAAAGGCTGTGCATGTGCTAGGTGAGCGCTGTACCACTGAGCCAAAACCCCAGTCCCTAAAGTTTCATATTTTGAGACAAGGTCTCACTAAGTTGTTTAGGGCCTCACTAAGTTGCTGGGTTGGCCTCTGTGGTACCTTCACTCTCCATTCAGTGGCTCTTTCTTCTGTCGTTTCACCTTCTTGCCCACCTGGCAGGATGGGTCATATTTCTTGGCTTTACTCCAGATAAGAGAGGAGGACTGAGTAGAAAGTTCAGAGGTTGAAAGGAACAATTGCATGCCTCCCATTTCCATGTTGCCCTTTGTAACTTCCTCTGCTGGGAGTTTTCAAGAGCAGTGGTGTTTCCTTACAGAAAGTGCAGGCGAGAAAGAAATGGGAGAGAAAAAGGGCAACTGACGACATTAACTCTTTTCCTTTTATTTTTTAAGGGGGAGTCTTGTGAAGCCTCCCAGGGTGGTTTTGAACTCCTGCCTTAGCCTCCAGAGTAAGCTGGGAGTACAGGCATGTGCCACACCTGGACCACATCAACTCTTTGTTTAACTGCACACTTACTATGCGACAAGACACCGCTTGGGAGCCCCCTCCCCAGGCGTCCTCTGTAGCGTGGAGTCTTGGGAATTAGGGCCACTGGTGAATGTTCTCCGGGGCCTTGCACACTGCACAGTTCCAGGGACTGAGGCTGGGGTTTCGGCTCTGCCCCTGAAGAGCGCGCGCCCTCCGGCCTGCTGCGCGACCGGGGACCAAGCAGGCCCAGCGGCTACGTGGGGTAACCAACGGCATAACGGTGCAAGAACTTGAAACACGAAGGTCCTCTCCGTCAGACCTAGAGCCCGGGTCCGCGCCTACATCTGGAGGCGCGGCCCCGGTGGGCTACGCCCACAAGTTGAGACTGGCGCCGCACCTTCACCCCGTTCCCTCCCGGCGCCCGGCTGACTCCGGCTACCCTGGGCGGCACCGCAGCAGGGGCGTGGCCGGCCGGGCGCGCGCCCGGGCCTGGTCCCGCGAGAGTCGACCGGGGAGAGGGGTCGGGAGCGCGGCGCGTGTTGCTAGGGGCTACGGCGCCCGGGCGCGCAGGCGCAGTGAAGCACGCCCGCCCGTCGACTCGCCGCCGCCGCGCCTTCCCCTTTAAGCTGAGGCCGGCCGCGTCGCCGCTTCATGAATGGAGCCCACGTGACCAAACATCATGTGACGTCTGAGGAGCGGCGGCGGCGGCGGCGGCGGCGGATCCCGAGCCCGGTCCGGCCCGGCCTTCCCAGTGCGCTCGGCTCGGCCCGCGCAGACGGCCAGCACCCCCAGCCCCGGCCCGGACCCCTCGCGCCGGCCCAGCCTCGCGCGGCCCCGCCCCGGCCCGCCCGGGCCCGCAGTGTGGTGAGTGCGCGGGGCCGGGGCCGGGGCGGCGGGGCAGCGCGAGCGGGGCGGCGGGGCCCGGCCGCGGGTGTGCTTCGCGCCCTGTCGCGGCCCGTGCCTCGATTTGCCCACCGGCCAGGACCCAGAGCCTGGTCACCGCCGCCGGGTGCGGTGGGCCCGGAGACGGCGAGGCCGAGAGCGGGTGGCGCGCGGCGGACCGACACCGGCGCCCCGCGGGGGGCGCGAGGGAAGGGCGGGGCCGGGCGGGCGCGGGGTCCGCGGGCGGTCGCGCCGGGCCGAGCTGCTGACTCATCAGGTGTCTGTCGCGTCTCCGCGCGCTGGGTCCCCGCGGGTCGGCAGGGGCGGCGGCGGCGGCGGCGGGGAGACCCCGCTGCGCGGCTTCGGCCCGCCACGCGCGTGCGAGCCCAGCGGAGACGTGCTGAGTCATCAGCATGAGGTCACTCGGTGCTCCCGCTGACGCTCGGCGGGGGCGGGGGCCGGCGGGCCGGGCCGCGGTGGCGGAAGGAGGGCCAGGTGTGGGGCGGCGAGGGTCGGGCCCTGTTCAAGTTTTGCAGAGCTGCGAGGAGGGGGTGGGTGTCACGCTGCAGGTTTTCTCCCGGGGTGGAAGGTGAAGCCCGGGCCTGCGCATCCCTCTCAGGCAGTTCCCGGGCAGCTGGCCCTGATCCCACGGCTGGGGCAGTTCCCCAAACTGGGAAACAGTTTTCTGAGTGAGAAGATGGGAGGAGCTTAGGTGGGTTGAGCTTGCCCGGCTGGGAAGCTGGCATTCTCTGCGACGGGTAGGGCCCCTGTGACTGGTCTGGCCGGCCAGGCTGGGCCTCCCCTGATGGAGAAGACAGGGAGGCAGTGGGAGAAAAAGGGGTGTGTGACATAGAGGAAGCAGGGACAGTTTTACCAGGAAATTGCGAATGAGAGGAAGTGGGGGACCTAGACAGCAGGTGGGAACCTTGGGTTACCGGCATGGTATAGAAGAATGCAGTTCCAGTCCCCCTAAAGTTTGCCCACGTGAGTGTGGGGTTTCAGTGTTGTGTAAAGTTAGCGAAGACTGTGCCCTGATGGGTGTGTAGCCTAGTAGCTGGGGGTTCAGAACAGCCTGAGAGTGGTGTGGCTTTGGAGGGCTGGAGCAGAAAAATAGGCACTTACTCTTCTGTACTGCTTCTTTTGCTCAGGGTTCATGGCTGGGTTAGGCTGACATTGTGGTTGCACTCAGGGATGCTCCCAACCCAAATGCAGTACTCTGACTTAGACTCTTACTTACTGAGCCCTGGGGCTTGTAGGGGCCAGGTGTCTTCACACTTTAGCTCATCCTTGGTGTAGAATTATTTTGTCCCAGGAAAATTCAGAGTTCCAGAGAGTGTGTGTGTGTATGTGTGTGTGTTTAAGTCTTCTCAGTCATTTGTTTCAGTGGAAACTAAACTTTCGATTGTTTTCAAAAGGTGATTGTCTGGAGAGGATGGGTCTGGAGTTTCGGGTGCCAGAGCATCCAAACTCCTGCCTAGGAATTTTGGTAATTAGGGTTTGCAGGCCAGGATGAAGGAGCAAGGACAGCTGTCTTGCCACTTGCTTTTCCTTTCTTGGCTCTCAGCCTTGAGTGGTTGGCCCAGAGTCTCTTGGAAGTCTTTGGGTGTGACCAACAGTGCCTCCTCCATGAGGCAGGGTTGGCCTATAGGTAAGCGAAAGGTGAAGGATGCCTGGGCCCCTTCACCAGGCTTCAAGACCCGAAGGAGGGCTGAGATGGGGTCAGTGCCACAGGGCCAGGGAACGAAAGCGTAAGGGTCAACTCCCATACACTCACCTGACTCTTTGGCACCCCTTGATCATCCAGCCTTGGGATCCCCCTCCTCTGGCTCAGTGTTTCTCCAGGCAGGCAGCTGGAAGCACCAGCTTGCTGAGACCTGCCCTTCCCCCACCATGCACACATGCATACACACATGCACACACACACCTTTGATTAGGAGACGATTGGCTGTACTTGTGCTGAGTTCAGGCCTTCTGCAGAGGGTGAAATCTGTTGAGGAGGCACTTTTTGGCTCCCAGCTGCCACACTCGGCACTTTTCTATGTGGTCTCCTCAGGAAGTCACCATTGTCATTGTGCTTAGCCGTCAGGGTAGGGAAGGACGGGGGTGAGAAGAGCCTGTGCCAGGGCAGCATCCCTGCATCCTGTCTGTGCTCAAGGTGGGAGAGCTCCTGTAGGCTCTGCTCTGCGGACCTGGCTCCTGGAGTGGGCTTGGGGCCAGCATGTGGGACAGGCAGATCCCCTGAGGACCTATAACTCTGATCTTCTGCCTTTTGATCTGGAAGAATTCTTGCCTCTCCGATGCTCTTGGTGGCCTGGTGTGGGGAGGTGTCTTTGGCTTCTCCAGCCTATTCTGCAAGCAACCTGGTCTCTGGGTGCAAGGCTAGGTAATGTAGGGTCTCTAGTGGGAACATATATCCCTACTTCCCCAGCCACACTCTATCTCCCCTGATGAGGGTGAGGGTGAGAAGTCCCCTCAGCCCCCCTTCCCCACAGTTATCTGAAGTGCTTGGCCCTGCTGTCCAGTTACCTCCTGTATCTAACCTGGAAAGGAGTGGGTAGTACACTGGGGTGGTCTTTGCCCAAGGGTCTGGTGGAGGCTGAGCCGGGTGGAGATTCCCTGGACTAGGTGCACAAAAATGTTCTGGCAGGGCTTCAGAAAATAGAAAGTGAGGTTGGGGTGCCAAAGAGTCAGGTGAGTGTATGGGAGTTGACCCTTGTGCTTTCGTTCCGCGGCCCTGTGGCATGGACCCCAGACAAGGAGTCAGAGAGCAGTCAGGCTGACTCTTGCCTTCTTCCAACTGAGCAGGCCCCCAGTGCGGGTAACTGGGGAACTTTGTGAAACACCCTGGTGGGGGTGAGGCAGGGCATAGGATGCTGCAACTTAAAGCCACAGGATGGTTACTCCATCATTAAAGGAGGTGGACAGGGAGGACTGGCGGGGTCTGGATAGCCTGCTAACTGGAAAGTGGTGGGAATCTCTGACCAGCCCTGAAAACACAGCATAGCTGGGAGGCCCACCCCTGACCTCAGACATCTTTGGGAGATTGAGGCCTGAATCCCCAAGGGACAACCCCCTGAGCCCTGGAGGGAGCAGGAACCCGAAGACTTAGAGAAGACAGCAGTAGGAGGTGGGACCCTAGGATACACAGCACAGTCGCTGGCTGGCCCTCACCTGCTGTTGGCACCAGCAGCAGGTCTCCTGGGGTGCTGGCTGTTGGCTGGCCTCAAGAGCAGGCTGGGCTTGGAGGGAGGGGTATGCTGAGTCAGCATGACTCGCCAGGCACAGTGAGCTCTGGGGCAGCACTGGGGTTATTTTTAAAGCTCCGCTTCCTTCTAGGCTTGCCCCTCCCGCAGATTATTCCTTCTAATCTCTCCCCCTGCCCCTTTGTCTTGCCCCTGGCTCCCTCATAGCCTTCAGTTCCCCTTCCCCCATCAGATCTCCCTGACCTGGTTCTCTAGGGGCAGGGTGGTCAGGAGCAGCCCAACTCAGGAGAGAAAAGCCCAAAGGTACCAGGGGAATGGGCATATTAGGGGCAGGGCTCTGGGGGCTGGGTGGCAGGCTCCATGGAAGGATGTGTATGTGAAGCTTGTGTGAACTGGGGAGGGCAGGGCAGGGATGGCGTGGTCTGCAGGGTCCTGACCCCTGCCCTATGTCTTGCAGAGTGGCTGCTCACTGTGCCCCGGGTTATGACGACCCCTAATAAAGGAAGCAAGGCCTTGAAGGTGAGTGGGCAGAACAGGGGAGGCTGTGGTTGGGCAGCGTGGAGCGAGCGCCCTGCTCAGCTGCCACCCTGCGCTATGCTACTGTAGGTGAAGCGGGAGCCAGGTGAGAATGGCACCAGCCTGACGGATGAGGAGCTGGTGACCATGTCGGTTCGTGAGCTGAACCAGCACCTGCGGGGCCTGTCCAAGGAGGAGATCATTCAGCTGAAGCAGCGCCGTCGCACACTCAAGAACCGGGGCTATGCGGCCAGCTGCCGCGTGAAGCGGGTAACACAGAAGGAGGAGCTGGAGAAGCAGAAAGCCGAGCTGCAGCAGGAGGTAGAGAAGCTGGCCTCTGAGAATGCCAGCATGAAGCTGGAGCTCGACGCCCTGCGCTCCAAGTATGAGGCCCTGCAGAACTTCGCCAGGACCGTGGCTCGCAGCCCTGTGGCCCCAGCTCGGGGCCCCCTTGCCGCCGGCCTGGGGCCCCTGGTCCCTGGCAAGGTGGCCGCCACCAGTGTCATCACAATAGTAAAGTCCAAGACGGACGCCCGGTCATAGGGACATGTGGGATTGCCGGGCAGGTCTTCGAGGGGCCACTAGGCGCATGGCGAAGTCAGCAGCCCTGTCCCACTTCCTCCTCCTTTTCCCTCTCCTTCCTCTTCCCCTTCTCCCTTCTTTTCCCTTCCCTGCAAAGCACAACCTGTTCCCCAGGGGCACTGGGCTGAGCCCCTTTGATCTCATCTTGTCGTCAGTGCGTGTGTTTGTACGCTGGGATTGGTCAGTTCGGTGGTGATGTTGGGTTGCTCCTAACCCTCTTTGTACCTAGGCCATGCAGGCTAGGAGTCTAGAGTGGGCACTGTGGGAATGGACAAGAGAATGGGAAAGCCAGTGAGCAAACTGGGCCTCAAGGTCTGCCCTCCCCTCCTCGGTGCCCACAGCCCACAGCCCACAGGCTGCCGGGCTTAAATGGGACTGGAGGGGTTCTCTCTCTTCAGACCTGGCAAGCAGCTCGCTAAGCCCAGAAGGAAGAGAGGGGCTCTGCTCTGAAGAGTGGGGTGTCCTTGAGGGCCCTGGACAGGTAGGTCACCTGCCTGGGCACTGTGGGTGCTGGGGCAGGGGCTGTGGCGCTCAAACCTGACACGGTGCACTGAACAAGACTAAATCACTGGCCGTGAGCGTGCGTGGAAGGTATGTCAGTGTGTCCTGCAATGGGTCCCGTGTCACTGTTTACATGACCTATTTGTGTGGTTATATAGCCCTTTATTTAAAAGAGAAGTTCCTTTTACGAAGTTATTAAATTATATGTTTAAGAGCTAAAGAGAAAAAAAAGAGCTGCAGAGTATTTATAAAATTGTCTTTTAAAAAAAAGCAAGTAAAAAGAACATTTGACCATATAAATGGAAAAGGGAAGAAAGTATAATAGTAACTTTGCTAGTTTAAAAAAAAAAAAAAAAAAAAACACCCAAAAAACAAAAACAAAAAAAATCCCTTCTTGTAAACTTACGGACAACTCTTTGTGGCTGTTGGAATTTAGTTTTTATATACACAGAGTTATCAGACATTATTTATAAAACTTAGTTTAAAAAAAAAAAAAAAAGCCAAGCCGCGCGCCGACCAGAGGCCGTCCTCTTTGATATCTCTTTTGCAATTGTACCGAAAGTGACTTACTACTCCTTTGCCCTTCCTGCTTCCGTCTCTTGCCGGTGCCGTGGTGTTGTCCGTGCCTGGTGAGGTTTTGTGCAGCCCGTAAAGTGCTGGTGCTTCTGGTGACCTTTGACCTGTGGCCGTCCCTTTTTGTGTATTTTCCCGTGTTTGTTTTTTGGGTTTGGTTGTGTTTTTGCTTCTGCTGGCTTGTTGGACCTCAGCCGAGCCAGGGTCCCTGATGGCGCCTCCTCCACTGGAGTGAGGGCGTCTGCCTGCCAGCCCAGCCTTTTCTGCTTTCAGAGCCTGCCCCTTGCCCAGGTAGTCTGCCAGGGGGCTCTGCCACTCCCACCTGTGCTGAGCCTTGGCTTCATCGGTGGGTCTGTGGCTTGGGCTGACCCACTGGCTGTATAGGTGAAATTGAGGGGCCATCCAGAGCTTCAGTGCTGCTTCCACATTCACCACCCCTGGCCCTGCCTGGGTGGTGGTATTGCAGGGACCAAGGAGTCACTGTGGGTTCCCACAGGGCCGTGGCTAAGCTGTTCCTGGCTGTCTTCCTCCTGGCTTTGGCTTTATTCCTATAGACCACAGATGGGGTGGGACACTCAAGGAACCCACCCTAATAGGTTGCAAATCCTACTGCTCACTTACCCCTTAGCTGTTTCCATGCTGTGGTGTGCTGCTTCCTGCGCAGAATGGACAGGGGCCCCACCTGGGGAGCCCCTTCTCTGCTTCACTGTGAGGGCCTAGGCAACCTCCACCAATTCCAGACAAGGGCTTGGACTCCAAAGCTGGCTCTGTCCCTTCCCTGCTGGTCTCTGCTGGCAGCTCTTGGCTCCAGGCCCTTCTTCCTCCTCTCTTTGGGAATCTGTGTCTTCCAGGGATCGCTGCTTAACTTGGAGGTGCTTCTCTGTGGGGTCCCAGCCCACTTCCCTGTTCCAGCTACCTGGCAGAGGCTGCCAAAATTCTGGGCTTGGTTCAGGAAGCTCCTCATGGGATGTGACCAGAACTGGTGCCTATGTCCTCCGCCCCCAAAAGAGGTATAGCCCCATCTCTGGGCATGTGGGCTTTGGCCTCTTGACAGGGTTGCTGGTGTCCTCTTTGGGGGGGCCCTGGATTCCTGAAAAGCACAGGAATGTGGGCTGGTGAGAGGAAAGACTTTCACTTCATGGACAACAGGATTTTCACCCAGAATTCGATCTGGTGTGCTATGGGGTGGGAGCTGGGCATCTGCCAGCTCCAGTCTTGAGGGGCTTCTTCAGTTTAGGGTGCTCAGACAGACCTGTTGGTACCTGTGGCTGCTACAAAATGGGAATTCTGACTTGACTGAGTCACCTGATGACTTCATGCCTTCCTTCAGTCTGGCTGTCTAAATGGGAGCCAGAAGCAAGCTGCTGCTGTTGGCTACAGCAGCAGAGTTGGAATGGATCAAGTTTGTCCCTAACAGAGGGGTAGGGGCAGGCCCTCTATGTCGTCTGGTCCTGGCTGGGGTGGGGTCATCACCCCCAGGTGATGAACAATGCTCTCCAGGTGTAGAGCTAGAGAGCATGTGGTGGGTGCCGTGAGGAGGAGGTTGGGCCAGTGCTGAGCAGAAGTTGCTGTCTTGGTTTGGTGTACAGAAGTAGCTCTGAGGTTGGTGAAGCTGTGCTTCCTTCTGTGGTTTTTGGATTTGGAGCAACTGTTCCTTGGGTCCATCAAACTAGGGCCGCATCACCCCTTTCCCTTCACCTTGATTTCTTGACAGTAAATCCTGTGTCCACATGTGACTATTGGCTGTCTTTCTGATCCTTGTTGATTATGTTTTCTTGCTGTGAGGGTATTGTGTTCTTTTTTATCAGCTTTTCTGACACAGTGAATTGAGGGTTTTGGCTGAGGCCAGGTTTCCCAGACTTGTCCGCCTAGTAAACCATAATGTGTGTCTTCCCTCCTATCTTGACTTTGCCCCCTTCCTCCTTTATCCTAATGTGGATGCTCAGATTTCAGAGGGGAGGGGGAAGAAGTGAACAGGTCAGCTCTTGCCAAAATCAGTGGCCCCAGAGAGCTCTCCCTGTGGTCCCTGGCTGCTGCTCCAGGATGGTGCTTCCCTCAGTAGAGGCGCTCCATGACTGCTCTGTGTTGTGTACTAGGCTTTCTGCTCAACAGGCCTTCCTGCAGGCTACTCTCCGTCCACACTTCAGGTCTGTATGCACACCTCTGTCAGCAGCAGCTTCTTTGTGCAGTGCCTGGGCTGACATCTCTGATCAGCTGCAGCCTGCTTTGGGATGGTGGTCCGGCCATATCCCTACTGCCCCCTACCTGGAATAGCCACTTGGCCAGTGCTCCCATCCACAGCTGGCAAACCTGAGCCACAGCCCGCTGCACCGTTTCCGCTCTGGGATCTTGTGACTTACATTTTTAGGCTGTGGTTTGGTGAAAGGAACCAACACATTAACGATTTTTTCCCCAGAAGCCACTGAATAATTCTTTTTGGCATGTTTTTACCTTCCGGTTGGCTGTCTGGTTTTGGAGCAGTTGTAGAGAGCAGAGTACATAATCAGTGTCACACAGAGGCAGGGCCAAGCTTCTCATGGCTTATTCTGCTCTGGCTTGTGTATCTTGGTCATGTTCTGTACCTGCTGGGCCACCTGCATACATTTCCACCTCACCCCTTGAGCAGCAGCATTGATACTGAATGTTGCTTGAGTCTGAGGTGGAATGTAAGAGTGTGTCCCTGTGAGCTGTACTTGGTGACAGCAGTTGGGTTTTCTGCCTCTCTAGCAGCCTCATGTCCCAGCCTTGCCCTTCCTTCCATCCCTCCATCCGCTAGTCCCTGAAGCCTTTAACCAAACGGGAGTGGGTGCAGAAAGCCTTCTCCTGGCAACTTAGGGCAACAGGACAAGGGCTACCCTGTGTCCAGCTCTGTTGGTCTCCTGGCACTGAGAGGTGTGTCCAAGCAGAGTTGATCAGCCCCTGTCTGCCCTGCGGAGGGCTGAAGCCAGGGGAGGTTGGAGGGGGTACCCTGAGATCCGCTGGAGTGAGGGCCGGGGTTCTGGCTGCAAGGAGAGGCCCAGGGGCCCACACCGTGTAGGGCGGTCAGGGACCTGGCCTCGGCGGGACAGCGGTCTTGGTGCCCACCCGCGCCCTGCGCAGTATTTATTGCTAAGTTATTGTCCAGGAGGGGCGGCGCTGGGCCTGGCCCCGGGTATTTATTGCTGTACATAGTGTATGTTTGTGATATATAAGGTTTTCTTTATTTTGTATATGATCAATAAACGCCTTTTAAAGAGACCTGCAGGTGCTTCTTTGGGGCGACGTGCTGGGGCCGGAAGGGGCGGGGTGGGCCCGGCGCGCGCATGCGCCCGCCTGGCTGCTGGGCGAGGCGGAAGCGGAAGCCGGAAGCGGGGTCCCGGGAGCGATGGCAGCCGGCGGTCTCAGCCGCTCGGAACGCAAGGCGGCGGAGCGGGTCCGGAGGCTGCGGGAGGAGCAGCAGCGGGAGCGACTCCGCCAGGTAGGCTGCCGCCGCGCCCGCGCCCGTGCCCGCCCGCGCCGTCGCTCACCGCCTGCCCGCCCGCCCGCAGGTGTCGCGCATCCTGAGGAAGGCGGCGACCGAGCGCAGCGTCGAGGAGGGCCGGCTGCTGGCCGAGAGCGAGGACCTTGTCACCGAGCTGCAGGGCCGGAGTCGGCGGCGCGAGGGTCTCAAGCGGCGGCAGGAGGAGGCGAGTCCAGCGTGGCGGGCGGCGGGCGGCGGGCGGCGGTGGAGGCGGCGGGCGGCGTGACCAGTCCCGGCTCCCGGCAGGTGTGCGATGACCCAGAGGAGCTGCGGAGGAAGGTCCAGGAGTTGGCCGGCGCCGTCCGGAATGCCAAATACTTGGTGGTCTACACCGGCGCGGGCATCAGCACGGTAGGGACCGAGGCGGGCCGGGCGGGTGTGGGCGCCCCCGTCTGGGCGACTGACCCGGAACAGTGCAGTGTAGAGTTAGGTCACCACCCAGTCGCAAAGACAAATTTCACCTTTAAAGCAGCTGTAAGGTCTCTTCATTTCTCCATTCACGAAACGACTTGATATAAAAGTTAACTAAGGCAGACATTAAAAACGCTTGATCTGGGCTGGGGTTGTGGCTCAGTGGTTGAGCGCTCGCCTAGCATGTGTGAGGTCCTGGGTTCGATCCTCAGCACCACATATAAATAAAATAAAGGTTAAAAAAACAGACAAAAAATAAAAACAAAAAACGCTTGATCTCTTACAAACACTAAAAATAAACAGACGGAAATAGGTGTAGAAGCCAACTGCCTTCTGGCACCCCCTCTTGAAGTTAACAGAGTTAATGGATGGACCCAGGTTATCCTTCAGTGTCCTGATATTCTGCTCATTGTGCTTTCCCCACCTTGTAAGGAAGAAAAATAGAAAGCAACCCGGTAATAATCAGAATATATGGGCAAAGAAAAGAAATGCACTGGGTTTTGAGAAGTTTGATGAGCTATCCTGGACTGTGGAACAGGGCTAGCTTTGAAAGTGTGACTCACAGGTCATTTAAACGCAGTCTGATCAAGGAGTGTGAAGTGTTAGGCATGTGTAAGCCCAGTAGAAGTGGACACCAAGTGATTTCTACTCTGAGGAAGTTAGGTGACAGTAATCAGCCATGTAAACAAATAAACAGAATGCTGACTGGGGTTGCTATCCCAGAAATCCAGACACACCCTCAATACTCAAAACTGGGGCATCCATCCTGATGGGCTTGCTGCATGAGGTATTGAATTGGGGCCATGAAAGGAGAAAGATTTACAGGTGAAGTGGGCATGAGGCACTCCAAACAGAAAACAGCAGAGGTTCAATAGCAAGAATGTGCAAGGTGAGTTTGCTGCCTTAACTTGTAAATACCTAGAGCCCAAGCATCTGGGGCCCCCTCCTTCATAGCCATGTCTAAAAATCCAGTTGGGATTATTGAGGGACAGTGCTGTCACGTTTTATAAAATCTAATGACAACTAAAAGCCACATGCAGCTAATTTTGTCTGTTAATTGTTTGAATAACATTGAATATACTACTGGTTTTTTTTTGTTGTTGTTGTTGTTGTTGCTGTTTTGTTTTTATACAAGGGATTGAATCCAGGGGTGCTTAACCACTGACCCAAATCCCCAACTGTTTCTATTTTTTATTCTGAGACGGGCCTTGCTAAGTTGCTGAGGCTGGCCTCAAACTTGGAATACTCAAGTATTACAAGCCTCTCTCTAGCTGCTGGGATTACAGGTGTGTGCCACCATTCCCAGCTCTGTTCTCCTTTTGAAATGTGACAGAGTGGGCATTTGTCTTGAGATTAAACAGCAGTGAGGAGACAGGGCTTCCCCAGAGAGGAGCACAAGTTACTTGGATCCTGTTTCTTTCTGCTTTCTTTTTAGGATTGGTTTATTTCACTGGACCAAAAATTTGGAAAATTAAGCAGTGTGTGGTGGTACATGCCTGTAATCCCAGAGGCTTAGGAGGCTGAGGCAGGAGGCTCACAAGTTTGAGGCCAGCTGGCAACTAAGTGAGAACCTGTCTCGAAAAATTAAAAGGGTTGGGGGTGTACCTCAATAGTGAAGCATACCTGGGTTCAGTCCCTGGTGCTTTAAAAAGAAAATAAATGAAATTTGGAAAATTGGATATTTATCTCATCTGGAGAGGTTGACCTCTATGTGTTGAGGTTCAGTAGTAATTATTCAGTTTCAGGATAAAATAATTTGGGCAGAGGAGTGCTCCCACCCAGTGGCTTGCCATTGTTAAGTATTTCTTTAGCAGGCTCTGAAAACACAGATGAACCTGATCAGTTTTCCACCTCAGTGTGGTGGATAGACATGGCCACAGATCTAAGCCTTGTACTCAGCTGGAGAACCTCCCATAGAAGGACAAATCTCCATGGAGCCTGGATGGATGAGCTGGGCTTGGCAGGAAGAGGAAGTACAGATGGAGGGAAGGAGCTGCATTGGGACACACTTTACCTGGCGTCGGGCAGATAGTTGTGGAAGTAACAGAGGCCAGTCTGTGGGTCAGCCCGCAATGTGGCATGTCCCATTTGGAGAATTCTGCAGTTACACACAGTGATGACTTTTCCTTGGGCTTTTTTTCTGAATGTGCAGGCAGCCTCTATCCCAGATTACCGGGGCCCTAATGGAGTGTGGACACTGCTTCAGAAAGGGAGAAATGTGAGGTGAGCAGCCCACACACAGCCTTCCCGCATGGTTGAGCAAGGGCCTAATGGCCTGGCCTGCAGCTCCCTTATCTCCGCTTTTCCTTCTGCCCAACAGTGCTACTGACCTGAGTGAAGCAGAGCCTACGCTCACCCACATGAGTATTGCTTGTTTACATGAACAAAAGCTGGTAAGAGCATACTGACTGGCATACACACCCAGGGCCAGGCTTGGGACCCAGAGCCGTAACCTTAGTACCCAAGTGGGCAGCTGCATCCCACCTCTGCCAATTGACCCTATGATGATGAGCAGCCCCAGCAGGTCAGACTCCTGTTTGATCCTGTGGAGTTTCCTCTTCCAGAAGAAAGGGTATCCCCCGCCCTGTACTGTTCTCTCCAGGGCCAGCTTAGAGTGTCTCCAGATTCTTCTGCATTGCTCCAGGTGCCTTGGAAGCCTCCTTAGCCACAGGTTAGCTTGTCAGAGATGTCTTCAGACCCTCTGTGAGCACCTTCGACCTGCGTCCTCAGGGACCTGAACTAGGTGATCCAAGAGGGCATCTGTCTGGAGCAGAGTGGTCATACCTGCACCCAGAGCCTTAAGTCTCTTCCCAGCCTTATAGGGACAACACAGATGCTTGCCTTCCCAGCTGCTCTGGGTGTGTCAGAGCTGGTAGCAGGAGAACACGGTATCTCCCCGTGATGGGGCCCTACCAAGTCCTCGTGGTATGCATCTGCCCCATACTTTACCTTCCGAGGCTTTCTGTAGGGTCATAGTTGTACCTGGTCTTGGGAGCTCTTGGCCAGGCTGGGCTAAGAAGGGTTTCACCGTGGTAGGATGCGTCCTCCATTCCCATGCTGACTGCCACCATGTCCTGCCTTCCAGGTACAGCACGTGGTGTCTCAAAATTGTGACGGGCTCCATCTGCGAAGTGGGCTGCCACGCACCGCCATCTCAGAGCTCCACGGGAACATGTACATTGAAGTGAGCAGTCCTGCGGGGACACAGGGCCTGGGTGGCAGGCAGGTCCCACTCACTGTGCCTTCTTGTCCTCAGGTCTGCACCTCCTGCATCCCCAACAGGGAGTATGTGCGTGTATTTGATGTGACAGAACGCACTGCTCTCCACCGACACCAGACAGGCCGGACCTGCCACAAGTGTGGGGCTCAGCTCCGGGATACCATTGTGCACTTTGGAGAGAGGGGAACTTTGGGGCAGCCTCTGAACTGGGAGGCCGCAACAGAGGCTGCAAGCAAAGCAGACACGATCTTGTGTTTAGGGTCCAGCTTGAAGGTATGTGACAACAACGCAGTAAACCCAATTGGGAATGAGCCTACCTGCCTTATGTGCACTGGACTCTGTTTCTCCAGCCTGGCTCTTCACGTGTGTATGCTATGTCTTATCTATTCTCAAAGGTTCTAAAGAAGTATCCCCGCCTCTGGTGCATGACCAAGCCCCCCAGCCGGCGGCCCAAGCTCTACATTGTGAACCTGCAGGTAACTTGGGTGCTCAGAGCTGATTTCTTTGATCTGAAAAGCCAGAAAGACATCTCACATCCATATCTCAGGAGGTGTAGTGCAAGCCCGGGTGGTCACCTGGGGAGTGCTGACTGAGTGCTCACCCAGTGCTGACTGGCCCTGTGGAGTTCAAGGCTGTGCTCACCCAGTGCTGACTGGCCCTGCGGAGTTCAAGGCTACAGGCTAGGAAGCAATAGGGACTTCTTGATTGGTTTTGTTTTGTTGTCTTTAGTACTGGGGATTGAATCCAGGGGCACTTTATCACTGAGCTACGTCCCCACCCCTTTTTATTTTATATCTTGAGGCAAGGCCTCCGTAAATTGTTGAGGGTCTTGCTAAGGTTGCCCAGAGTGGCCTCAAATTTGTGATCCCCTGCCTCCACTCCCAAGTTGATGGGATTATAGGGGTGTGCCACTGCACCCTGCCTCACTTGCTTTTCCTGCCTTCAGTGGACCCCAAAGGATGACTGGGCTGCCTTGAAGCTTCATGGGAAATGTGATGATGTCATGCAGCTCCTCATGGACGAGCTGGGCCTAGAGATCCCCCTCTACAACAGGTGAGTGGGCAAGCTGGGTCAGCCCTGTGTCCTCCCCTCCTTGGTGGGCCGTGTCTGTCTGCTCCTGTGCGCTGAGCGTGGAGGAAGCTCTGAGGTGTTGTGAGCACTGTATGAGGTGGTCTGAAGCTGGTGTCCTCCACAGCGACTGGCCTTGGTTTGCCAAGGTGGCAAGACTTCACGTGTACACTTCTCTCTGGCTGGTGTGGTGCCCAGTATCCCTTGCAGGGAGAGGGCATCAGCCAATTCGTTCTACTTGACCTTTCCTTGTTGACCTCTCAGACAAACCTGAATGGAAAGGGGCCTGGAGGGGATGAGGACTTGGCTACTCCAGTCAAACGGAATCTCATTGTCCTTGGTTTTGGGAGTTGGTATATTTGGGGGAAGCTTAACCTGTGCCTTAATGCGGAATTTGTGATAATTTAGATTTGGTGTATATGTTGAGTAAAAAGTTTACACTTTCTTTCTCTGTGAATTTTCAGGGTCTTATAGGGGAAATCAGTAACTTCTTTTAATCAAAGGGTTCAAGAAATTAAGGATCCCTTCACCTCTGGGCCTGGCAATTCTTGTATGTTATGTTTGTGGTGTTCTGTGACGTGGGCCTATTGTGTCCTGTATTTTTTTTTTTTTTTTTACATTAACTTAGCTCATTTTCTTTATCAGTGCTTATATGTACCTTACGTTTATAACATGTGGTTCTACATCTCAGTCAGACACATGATTTCTTCACGATGTAGTCTGTGGGCCGCTCCTCCCCAGTCAGCTGGCCATCCTTCTCATCCCCGTCGTGCAGTCTGGGAAGGGGAAGAGGGTCTGGTCCACCTGCCCCTGGCTGAACAAAAGAAAGGTGGGGCCCAGCGTTGCTAGTGACCATCCCTGGAGACACCCCCCCCAGCCCCCCCCCCCCCCCCCCAGGGCTGTTGCCATCCTACCCTGTGTGAGCACAGCCCACTAATTGTGGATGAGACACTTGAGTTCTGAGGAGGCCAGCTCGGGTGGGTGCTGGCCTTTGAGTTGCCACCCAAGGAGATTTCCTCTCCTGCAGCTCTTCTGTAGCTTGGTGAGGATGCAGCTACCACCAACCAAAGCCCAGCCATGGTTAAAAGACAAGGGATGGGGAGGGAAGGCAGGTGACCTCAGGCAGCTTCCCTGTGCTGGGGTGGGTTGCACTGAGAGGGTGCAGACCTGCCTGATGCAGCCTTCCCTTCTTGGTAGGTGGCAGGACCCAATCTTCTCCCTGGCGACTCCCCTTCGAGCTGGTGAAGAAGGCAGCCACAGTCGGAAGTCGTTGTGCCGAAGCAGAGAGGAGGCCCCGCCTGGGGACCGGGGTGCCCCACTTACCTCAGGCCCCATCCTAGGGGGCTGGTTTGGCAGGGGCTGTGCCAAACGTGCAAAAAGGAAGAAAGCCACATAACCTGGTGTTGATGAAGATAATTGGCACTTTGTAGATGGCTGGAACTCTTGTTCAGGGGCCAGTGTCACTGTCAAGGCCAGGTTGCCCCCAAAGGGTCTAGTGGGAAGAACTGGGGTGACAGGTCACCTTGACGTTTTTTAGCCATTTGTCTGTCCTTATGGGAAGCCCCCTTGCACTGCACAGTTGCCCCCATTATGGGCTTGACCATCCAGGACATCCCCTCTCCATACAAGAGGTGGCAGCAGGCCTTTCTGGGAGGACAGAGCCGGGTCCATCCCAGCCTGGTCGGCAGAGGAGCCCAGGCTGCCTTACCTCACTCATCAGGCTACTCTCAGGGCCTCCCCAGTTTCTACTCCTTACTAAAAAGCTGACTTTATAGAGATCTCTGTTGGGTATGCGGCAAAGGGGCGGTTCTGAGCCTTGGCTCGGAGCAGATCTTTCTTATTAAACATTTCTGCACTGTGTTCGTGTCCGGATGTCTGCTGTTATGCTCAGTATGGAGCGGCCGCGAGCCGGCTCCTAGGCGCAGAGGTTGCTTAAAAGCTCCGCCACTGTTGTACTGAGGCGGTGGCGGAAGCACCCGCGCGGTACCAGCCAGTCCTTTCTGCCAGGTGTGCGGCGAGTCACAGAGGCCAATGTGGCGGGAGGGCGGGGGTGACGTATGCCATTGGCTGCGCTGGTGGGCGGAGGGGCGGTCGGGCTCGGAGATGCTGATCATTGGCTGCATGCTGGGGGCGGGGCCAGGGGGTGCTCTCCATTGGCCAAGTGCTGCCGGGTGGTGGGCGGGGCCTGAGGGCGGAGCCAGGTGTTGGCGGCTCCTGCCATTGGCCATGCGCCGCGGGTGAGGCCCGCGTGACGCCGCGCGCGAGGCGGGGCGGGGCGGCGGCGCTCGGAGTCACCGGAGCTGCGGGACCGCACCGCCGCTGCGGGGCCATGATCCGTAACGGGCACGGGGCGGCGGGCGGCGCGGAGCGGCCGAGCCCAGCGGGCAGGCGCGCGGTGCGGGTGTGGTGCGACGGCTGGTGAGCGGGGCGGGGACGGGCGGCCAGCAGTCTCCTCCCGGGGTCGGCGCCGGCAGTTGCCTGGGGGCCGGCCCGCGCCTGCGGTCGCGCCCTTCGGTGTGCCACCGACCCCAGTCGGGTCGCGGGGGCCTAGTCCAGGGTTTCCCTGATGTCCCCCTGGGCTCCTCAGCGACGCCTGCCGGCTTGGGCTTGGAGCCTTCCGGGGCTCTGTCGCTCCCGGCTGCGCGAGGCCAGCCGACGTCCGATCACTGGGAGGTTAGGCGCGAGGTTAGGCGCGAAATGTGCAGACGCTGATGCAGCCGGCAGTGTCCTTCGGGAAAACTGGAGATGCGCCCCTCGGGCGCTCACTGGGGACTGCCAGGTCGTCCGAGGCGCTATGGAGCACATAGGCTCCCAGGCCGCGGTGGGTCAGGAATGCCATGGGCTTTCTGGCAGTTTAGAGGAGGTCATTGTTTTGAAGAAACTTTGGGGCTGTCAACAAGTAGAAGGAAAGTTGACCTTTCCGATAGCTTGCTGCCCTCAGTGATTTCACAGGCCTGCACCTGATGGAGTGGGGAAGGACCTTGGCTAGTCAGCCCATAGCTCCTGAGAAGGCTTAAAGGGAGCGGGCAGCACCTTGTCTCTTTTGCACCTGAGTCACCTTGGGAAGAGGGAACTCGGCTTCCTGTTGTACTCTGACCTTGGCCCTGGCCAGGGGCCCACCCCAATCAGGCCACAGGCCGCAGTAGCTAGGATTCAGTGTCACTCTTTCCTCCGTGTGTTCCCCCAATCCAGCCTCTGACCCCTCCTCCCATCCATCCTGTGCAGAGGGCACATGGCTGGATGAAGTTGACCCTGGGCCTGAGTCCTGTAACCCCACCCAGTTTGTCTGCTGGGACCCCCTGCACTGTGGTGAGAGTGGTAAATGGCTATTCTGAGAGGTGGGGGGCTGCTCCAGGTCACCTGATCATACCTCACAGGGGATGGGGATCTCTGGAGGGAGGTAGAGCCAACCCAGGGCCCAGCATTGGCCCACAGAGGATTTCGAGGGCTGTTCCCCAAGTGTGCAGGAGAACCTGGGGCCCAGCACATTGCAGGGGCTGAGGAGCCTTGAACTGGAGAATGCACTCATAGCTAGACTCGGATCTGAGGATAAGAGCTGCAGAACCAAGTGACACAGGCTGTTTCTCACTCAGCCAGGCAGTGGGGGAGGAACCAAAATTTTCAAAACCAGTGATTCCCAGGCTTCTTTGGTTGGAGTTTTGGTTTTGTGTTGACCCCAGGGACCTCAAGGTAGAATAGGATCCAGACCCGACCCACAATGTTTGTTTTAAAGTTTAAAGTGACTCCCCACAGCAGGTTGTATTTAGTGAAAGAAGGGGACAAGTGCAGAAACCACCTGAGGCCTGAGAAGTGACCACGGCCACCAGTGGGAGACTCTGTCCTGGGAGCTCCTCAGCCGTGCTCTCCTCCAGGCCTGTCCCTGGGTGCACCATCCTTTCTAGTCCTGACACTGATAGGGTCCTGACCTCTGGCCCTGGATCTTGAGGGGTGGACATCTTAGTGCCCACCTCCCTGCTGAAATCCTGCTTCTGGATAGATCCTGGGTAGCAGTTTCCCCCGGTGTTTTTTCAAGAGAGCTATCTCACGAATTCTGGAAGGATCAAAGATGTGCCCCACAATGCCCCTTACCACCTACCTTCCTTAACATAGGGCCTGACTGCCCTGTCTGTCCCCACAGCTATGACATGGTGCATTATGGCCATTCCAACCAGCTGCGCCAGGCACGAGCCATGGGAGATTACCTGATTGTGGGCGTTCACACCGATGGTAAGGTGCAGGCTGCTGTGCCCACACCACCCACAGTCTGACATGGTCTTCTCTGACTGGGTCAGGTAGGGCAGGTCCACACATCCTTCCCAGAGCTTGGCTGTGAGGGAGCTTGGCAAGCTCAACCCAGCTTTGCCTGACTGAGGAAGGCCCCAGCCATAGAGAACAGGCCGGTGGCATTCATGACAGGCTCCTTGGCTGTGCGGCCTGTCCCCTCCACCCCTGTCCTGGCTCCTCAGCGCCTAGACTGAGGGGCTGTCCTGTTACCCAGCAGATGCTCTGATCCATTTTGCTGGCCAGAGCACAGCGGTGGTCTTGCCCCGTGGCCTGAGCACCCAGTGAGAGGCAGGCTCCCTACTACACCCCACTGTAAGTACAGGACAGGGCGGCTCCTGAGGAAGGAGCCTGGGGGGCTGGAGGTCACCTCTCTCATCCTTGTCTTGTCTTGTGGTCATAGAGGAGATCGCCAAGCACAAAGGGCCCCCGGTGTTCACCCAGGAGGAGAGATACAAAATGGTGCAGGCCATCAAGTGGGTGGACGAGGTGGTGCCTGCGGCTCCCTATGTCACCACCCTGGAGACGCTGGACAAGTACAACTGCGACTTCTGTGTGCACGGCAGTGAGTGGGAGGGCCTGGGGCTGCGCTCAGGTCCCGGGTGGTACCTGGCGATGGTGGGCCTCCTCCCTGTGGGCTCCAGGAAAGCTCTGCTCCCTCCCCAGAAATAAGTGCACAGATACTGGGACAGGCTGGGGACTGAGAGGGGAGCTGGGTGCTGGCTCTAGGCTGAGCCTCCTTGTCTTGGTGTGCATGTCACTCTCTAGATGACATCACACTGACTGTAGATGGCCGTGACACCTACGAGGAAGTGAAACAGGCTGGGAGGTACAGGTAAGTCCCCAGGTGGCCTACCAGTCAGGGCACCAAGTGCAAGGGTTCCTTCCAGCTCATTCTTGGCCGCTTTGTGGCCTCCTCTGAGAAGAGTGTCTGGGCTTCTGGCCAAGACTGGGTACACAGGAAGGGGAGCGCTTGTTGTGGCCCTTACTTCATGGCAATTCCAGGGCTTCAGAGAAGTGTTACAGGCAGAGCTTAGCAGGGATGGCCAGGTTCTTGATCAGAGCGGTGAGCACGGCCACCACAGCCTAGCACAGCTGGTGAGTGCCTTATGGGACTTGTGCCCTTTGGGAGCTGGCTTTTAATTACTTTAAAGACCTAGTTGTGGCCAGTGGCTCCTGCAAGAAATGGGGCAAGCTGGAATTCCCTTGGCAGAGAGGGCACAGTCAGGCAGGACCTGGGTGTGAGGGAGGCTGGGGGCCTGATGCAGAATGGGGACCACCCTGAGTCTGCCCTGCCTGCTCCCAGCTCCCAGCACTGCAGGAATGGGCCTTAGTGGTCTTTCCGCTCTGCTCCTGCCTCTCTGTAGCTGATCTCAGTACAGGGCTCTTCCCCATGCTCCAGTTCTGTGTTATGCTGTGGTCAGTGCAGAGAGGTGCACAGGCAGGGTTAAGGTCATGTCCCTCGGGTGGGGTCCACTGCAGGTGGAGCCTGACAAAGGGGTCCTGTGGGTCCAGGACAGGAACCCCCCCATACTCCCTTTGGTCCCCCCAGAGAGTGCAAACGCACCCAGGGCGTATCTACCACAGACCTCGTGGGCCGCATGCTGCTTGTGACCAAGGCCCATCATAGCAGCCAGGTGAGTGCAGGATGGGGCAGGGTCCCTGGTTCCCTGGGTTGAGGACAACCACCCTTCCCCATCTTTCTCTTCCTCAACCTCTCCTCTGGCTGGGGGAGCCACAAGCTATGCAGTCATGGGGTTGGCAAGTCTGGAGGGTAAGACCCCTCAGCGGCTGTCCCTCCTGTGCAGGAGATGTCCTCCGAGTACAGGGAGTACGCAGACAGCTTTGGCAAGGTGAGTGAGCTCTGGCCAGTAAGGCCACCTGGGAGTGCAGCCAGTGCTTGGCTGCCCCTCCTCCACCACCCACACTCCCCTTGGGGCTCTCTTTAGGGAAAGGCCAGCTCTCCTCCCTCCCTGCCTGGAACTGACAGGTGGCCTCTAACCAAATGGCCCGCCCCTCTCTCCCTTTGTAGCCCCCTCACCCGACACCTGCCGGGGACATACTTTCCTCAGAAGGCTCCTCCCAGGTGACCAGATGGTGGCCTAAGGGTGCTGGGTTCCCAGAGGGCTGTGTCCACAGGCCACTAGGTTCTGTACCTCATGGTGGTGAGTCCACCAAGTGGAGCTGGTGTTAGTTGCAGTACCTACTGTGGCCATTAGGCAGAGCCACAGTCCTGCCAGTGGCAGTGGCCTTGCCTGGACTGGCGGTGGTGTCCCTGCTCCTGCCCTGTTCCAGGTACCTGCCTGGAAACAGACCCAGTGGGCCTCTAGGTTGTGGCATGCTGCAGTGGGGGTGTGAAGTCCTGACCCATGGTGCCCACTGCGTCTGCTCCCCAATCCCCACCATGACAGACAGGGGTACAGGCAGCCCTATACCCAGAAGAGTGGTCCCAGGAAGGAGCTGGACAAGGGACATGCCTGAGAGGCCTCTGCTGCTGACCAGCTTCCTCTTTTGGCTGACAGTGTCCTAGGGGGCGCAACCCCTGGACAGGGGTGTCCCAGTTTCTACAGACATCCCAGAAGATCATCCAGTTTGCTTCTGGGAAGGAGCCCCAGCCAGGGGAGACGGTTATCTATGTGGCTGGTGCCTTTGACCTGTTCCGTATCCTCCTCCGTACCACTGTGGTGCCACGCCCACACCATGGAAGGGGAACCTGGGCCACAGGCCCCTCAAGGCCCTGGGACTGGGCTGGGGTGCGGGGAGAGCAGCCTGGCAGGGAGAAAGAGTAGTGAGGTGCTGAGCCAACTCCCTGGGAGGCGGGAGCTCTCTGCCCTCTTGCCTGTTGTTGCCTCTTGACCTGTGTACAGATATTGGGCACGTGGACTTTCTCGAGAAGGTGTACAGGCTAGCTGACAGGCCCTACGTCATCGCCGGCCTGCACTTTGACCAGGTCTCTGCCCTGCCTCCTTGTTCCCCAGACCCAGACAATTGACGGGCCATGAGGCCCTGGTGGGGCTCCAGGGTGGATGTTGGGCACAAGTGGCCTGTGGAGGAACGAGGCTTCAAGTGCCTTTTGAAAGCAAAAGAGACCTCCTGGGTGGGTGAGCTTGGGTCTCTTCTGGGGTCCAGAACCGTTCTGCCTGGCTCCTCTCCTAACTCCTGCCCATAAGGGATCACTGGGAGGGAGAACACCCGGTCCACATGAGGCCCTGAAGCTGAGCTGACCTTGCTCTGCCCTTAGGAGGTCAATCGCTACAAGGGGAAGAACTACCCCATCATGAACCTGCATGAGCGGACCTTGAGTGTGCTGGCCTGCCGGGTGAGCACAGGCTAGGAGCCAGCCCGGAAGGGGAACATCCCCTGGCCTCTCCCTTCCAAAGGCTTCCCTGAGCCAGGGTGTGGGTGCCTGTCCATCCCACTTGGTAAGGTGGTCTGGCCTCCTTGGTGGTGTGTTTCTTCCCAACTAAGGAACCCAAGAGGCCCAGGAGGTAGGACGCCGTGGGCTCCCTGGCCAGCCAGCCCCAGCCCTGCCTGTCTCTGCTCGCTCACCTGCAACCTCAGCCCTGCATCTAGGGCCATCTCCTACCATTCTCCAGTCCTGCCTGCCAGGATTGGGGACCTCTGCTACTACTCCTTGTCCCAAGCTACTCTGCTCCTTGTCCCCACAGTATGTGTCAGAAGTGGTGATTGGGGCCCCATATGCGGTCACAGCAGAGCTCCTGGGTCACTTCAAGGTGAGGCTTCTCATGGGGTAGGTACTTGGTGCTGCTGTAGCTCCCAGAGAGGCACCTGGGCTGACCCCTGCTCCCTTCCCAGGTGGACCTTGTATGTCATGGGAAGACAGAAATCGTGCCTGACAGGGATGGCTCTGATCCCTACCAGGTGGGTTTCACTGCTCCCCGATGCAGCTCCCTGAGGCTTCACCTGTCTCTGGGATGGCACAGAGATCCTTGCTGCTGTGTGGCTCCAGGGGACAGGGAGGCAGGTTGCTAATGAGCACCAGTGATTGCTCTCCTGGCCCTGTGCTAGCCTCCCTCTGGGGCAGGGCAGAGACAGCTAGTTTCTGTGGTCAGGAGGGAACTCATCTCTCTCTCCTTGAGGCTTCCAGGAACCCAAGAGGAGAGGCATCTTCTATCAGATTGACAGTGGCAGTGACCTCACTACGGACCTCATTGTGCAGAGGATCATTAAAAACAGGTATCCCCAGGGCCCCTTGGGGTGGGCACCAAGCAGCTGCCAGCAGAGGGAAGATTCCCTGGCGCAGCTCACCATAGCCCGGCCCCCAGGTTAGAGTATGAGGCACGAAACCAGAAGAAAGAAGCCAAGGAGCTGGCCTTCCTCGAGGCCACCAGGCAGCAGGAGATACAGCCTGTGGGGGAGGGCGACTAGACTTCCGACTGGAGGACTGTCACGGAGAGCCCCTGTGCCGGTGCCTGCCCCGCTCTGCTTCTGCGTCTTAGAGTTTGGCTCACGCAATTCTAGAGGAAGCTGCAGCACCACCCACTAACTGGCCTGGCTCCAGCAGGGCTGGTGGGGAGGGCACTACTCCTGCCTGCCTGCAAGGTGCCTGTTTTGTAGTGGGCTCTCAGCTCCTCCTGCTCAGAGAAGGCATCCGGCAGTGGAGCAGCCCAGCAGGCAGGGTGGGCAGAGAGGACCAGTGATATTGAAGGCTGTTGCTCCTGTGTGCTTCCATCCAGTGGTTTCTAACTGCTGCTCCTCCCCCATCTTGGAGAGAGATGACCCTCCTGCCTGGCTGGAGGCTGCACTTCTTGCTTATCCAGCTTTGTGGAAGGCACAGAGTGGATGGCTTTGGGGAGCTGTGTTCCTGGGGTCACTCCCCATTGGGCACCCTGTGCCCTGCAGCTCATCCCAGTACCCTGTGCCTGGCTCCAGGAAGGTGCACTTGTCCTGCTGCCCTCCCAACAGACTTCCTGGTCTTGATTTGTACATCTCTGGTGCAACTGAATAAAGCCTGCTGGGAAGTGCTGTGTCTGCCCCCAGCTCACCCACCCACCACAGGGCTTCTGGAGTGGCAAGACCAGGAAGGCCGCAGAGCCTTGGGGCTGCCTACCAATGGGGCTGGGAGGCAATGATTTGGCATGTCTGTTAAATTCAGATGCGGGAATTAGGGCTATAGGTGTGGCTCAGTGGTACAGCAAGGCCCTACCTAGGGTGCATTAGTCCCTGGGCTCATTCCCAGTTCTGCAAAAAGAAGAATATGAAGGTGCTTTCCAGCCCAATGCCCTCCCACTTTGAGCTGCTGAACCAGGTGGAAAGGGGCAGGTTCCTCTGAGGAAGATGGGCCTGCCCTTTCCTTTTAATCCAGCTGATTTTGAGGTCTGCTTTACAATCCCAACAGAAGCCTCACCCACTTTCCCTCTGTGCCCCCAGTCTCAGAAGTGGGGTGGTGCTCATGTTCAGACCCCTGAGCTGTGGGATTCCTGAGCAGAGAGGCCAGGCAGTGCCTGCAGGCTAGATCTGGTAGGGCATGGCTGCCTGGCTGCTGGGCTGGGCAGAGAACAGGCCTGGCCTAGACATGCCAGCACCTAGAGTATGCTGCTGCTTGCACCCTGGAGCAGGGGCTGGGGACTGATCTGCACCAGCAGCAGGTAGAGCCTGGGCCCAGCACCCCAAAGACACATGGTCCAGCCAGGGGAGACTCCCTGCTCACCTGCCACTCATGGAATCCCTGGGTGGAGGGCTGGCAGGTCCAGCTGGCAAGGGCACAATGGGGACACCCTGAGAGGCAGACCGCAGAACTCTGGGCCTTCCGTCCGCCCTGCCAGGAGTGGAACAAGAGGGAAGCAGCCAGAGGCCCCAGCTCATGCTCTAGAGGAAGACCCAGAACCCTTGAGTGTGCCAAGGGTGGGGGGAGCCAGCTTGACCAGGGGAGAGCGGCACCTGGGGCACCCTAGCAGGAACCCTGGTTTTACGGGCCAGGCGGCCACTAGTCTGGGTGACTTCGGGGCCCCGCCCTGCTCGAGGCCCCCCCCCCTCCAGCAGTCCCCCTCTGAAGACTTGACTGAGCTTCTCCTTTATTCATTTGGCGGATTACTGCACGGGGCGGGGAGGGAGGGTCAGGGGTGCCATCCCGCGAGGCAGGTCTGGGGGTCCCTGAGCGGGCAGTGGGCGTTGGGGGCACCCACCGGGTCAACGAGGTTGGTATTTTGGGCCGGGGGCTCAGGTGCGATGGCAGTCGGCGGCGCGCCGCGACAGGAAGACCTCCGCCTTGCACTGGAAGGTCCCGCCGTCGGGGAGCCGCTGGCAGCTCTGCAGGTTCGGGGTGACGTCCTTGACGCACACGGCCTGGGTGGGCGGTGGAGGCTGAGGGGGCCGCCCGCACCCACCGGCCCCCGCCGCCCCCCTGCGCGCACTCACAAGGCTCCGCAGGCTGGGCCGCAGCTCCGAGGAGGCGCCGGCGCGGCGCTGGAGGCCCGTCCCGCCCGCGAGCTCCGAGCGCCGCGCAAACGGGGATCCGCGGAAGCCGGACAGTAGCCCCGCGGCGCGGCCCACCGAGTAATGGCTGGGCCCGGCCGCCGGCTTGTACCACGCAAGGCCCTGTGGAGCCAGCAGCAAGAGCAGCGCCAGGGCCGTGGCCACCAGCGTCGCGTGCCGGGCCATGAGGACGCAGGCAGCGGGAGGGCTGGGGAGCGTCCAGGTGGAGCCGCAGAACCTGGCCGCCTTATATCTACTGCGGTGACAGGGCGGGGGCGGGGCGGGAGGGGACCCGTCAGCGCCTCGCAGGCATAGGGCATGCAGGAGGCTCGGGTGAGGCCCACGCAGCATCATGCTGAGGCGCACAGACCCTCCCACTGACCCGTCCATCCTGGACTGACAGCACTGAACCCCCAAATAGCCCAAGGATCCACCTCCCACCCAGTCCCCAGCACTCCCAAGACTGTACCTGCACAGTACTCAAGGGACAGATTCTCCCTCCCTTAAGGGGAACTGAAAATTCTTGACCATAGGCATTAAAGTCCCTGGGTAAAGCATGGGGGCCACGGTCTGGTTCATGCCCATGGTGGGAGGTTCTGTTACTGGCTGGATCCTATAGGAAGAGGAGGGTAGCAAGGCCAGGACCCAACTTTGGGAAGGCCAGACTAAGAGACTGCAGACCCCAGGCCGCTCCCTGCCCAGCTCTGACCCTGTATGGTGGTCTCTGAGATACTTCCACCTGGAGCCTTCCCTGCATTCCTTCAGCCAATACTGGGCACACAGGAGACTGCCCAGAAATAAGACATACTGAACACCTCCTGCATGCCAGGGCCAAGGCCACAAACAGGGCTCAGTCCCTGCCTAGGACAGGTGGGAGTAAGGAAGGGGTCCTCCCAGGGAGGTAAGAGGATGCTTGGGAAGAGTCTGCAGAGACCAGTGGGGTGACCCTCCCACAGGAGTTTCTGTGGCTTCCTGGAACAGGGGGCTAAGGGGGGGAATGCTACAGGGTTTGATGAGGACTTTACAGAGGTCCTGACCTGGGAGGAGGCAGGCAGCAGAACAATGGGATCAAAGGGCAGGAACTGGAGCCCCCATGTGCAGAGTGGGGTGGCTACTAGGTTTGTGATCTCCAGAGAAACTCAACATTCTGGGAGGTCTGGTGAGCAGACCAGAGATGGGTGGAGCTGACCCGCAGGAAAGGACCCAGGCGGAACTCAGTGGGAACTCAAATGGCAGGGAAGCCAAGAGGGAGGCTTTGTGGCGATAGAGGGTTCAGAGGTTAGCCTGAGGAGGCTGAGCCCTGGCAGACATGTCCTGTCTCATGAGAAGATGCTTCAGAGAGGACGAGGGCAGAACTGGTTCCCAGGAGTGAGGCCCCATACTGGCTCACGCTGGGCCCGGGTTCCGAGTGCCTAGTAGCAGAAGCTACTAAGAACAGCATAGGAAGGACGGCAGTGGGCTGCTGGTCCCTCCGTAGGTGCCTTCTCCTGGCTGTGGGGACCAGAGGAGCCTCCTGAGAGGTGTCCTTCCCTAGGACACCTGGAGACATCCCAACATGGAGAGCCTGCACTGGACCTGGTCTTCAGTTTGAACAAAGGACAAGGTTCTGTGAGAACAGAATGCCATAGCCATCTGCAGCCCACCTGACACTACCAGAACTTGCTCGGGGACATCTTCCTCCTGCCAAGGCCTGAGTGAGGGTTCTGGGGGTGACAGCCATTAAGAAGCCCACTGACAGGACATGGCTGCTGTGGCTCCCGTTGGCACACACATATTCCATTCCGGGGCCTTGATTTGGCCATGCCCTGCCCCAGGCTCTTTCATGATTCTGCACTCTTTTCCCAGAACTGTGACTCAGGACTTCAGCGGTGTTTCATCAAGATGTTTATTCATGAGAGTTTTCATATCAAAACACTGCAGCTTCATCAATGTGCCAAGACACAGGCAGCCAAAGCCTCCAGCAAGGCTCAGGTACTTTAATGAGTTTTATTTATTGAATAAAAGCGTCAGCATTGTGATGGAAAACAACAAACAGGCTCCAGTCCTTGTTTCAACCCTGTCATAGCCCAAGGACTGTCTCCAGACCATGGCCATCGGGTCCCACTAGGAAAAGGGGGACTCAGGGCCATCTTGGGGTGGGGGAGAGGGGTCCAGGTGCAGCGTGGGCGCCTCACTCCTTGAACTTCCACTCCTGCCGGCACATGGGGCAGTGCTGCTGCACCTGCTGTGCGTTGAGCCACTTGAGGATGCAGTGCATGTGGAAGCAGTGTGAGCACTGGCCCCACACCAGCGGGCAGTCATCGCCAGGCACCTTACCTGCAGGAGGGCCAAGATGGGACAGCATTAGGGAGGGCCCAGCATTCTCAGGCAGGCTACACAGAGCATGTGGCAAGCCAGAAAGGGGTCCCAGGACATCAGGCTGTGGCTCCTACCCCAGGCCAGTACCTCTCCTGTCTCATGTTTCAAAGACAAAAGTCTGGTCAGGCTCGCTTGTAATTCCAGCAGCTTGGGAGGCTGAGGCAGGAGGATCACGAGTTCAAAGCCAGCCTCAGCAATTTAACAAGGCCCTAAGCAATTCAGTGAAACCCTGTCTCTTAATTATCATCATCTTATTGGCTCTCTGGTGTCACCTCTCAACCACTCCTTCTGGCAAAATGCCATGCGCCATCCCTACTCGGCTGTGGCTCTCAACACCCACCCCTACACCAAGTGAAACAGAGGGGAGTGAGTCTGGCTGGACCACCAGAACCCTGTACCTTCAGAGTTTGGGTAAAGAGACAACGTCTGACCTCACGGGCCTTGGGGACCATCTGTGGACTCTTGACTCACTGTGATAACCAGAAAGTAACATTACTGGTCAGATGCCAAGGAGCTGATCTGAGCAGTGAGCTATTCTCTCTTTATCAAAGCAGGAGGGGTGGAGACCTAGAAGATCCTCTCTTTGGACTTCAGGGATTTGGTGACCTACAAGCATCCTGGGGACACTGGTATTTAAGGGCCAGCTTTCTTCCTACGTATAGCTTCAAAGGGCCCCATCTCCAAGGCCAGGTGAACAGGATGCAGACACCCAACCTGTGGGTCTGGAGATGCTTCCTGTGGAGAGGAGAGTGCAGAGAGGGACACTTCATACTATCAAAGTTGTCCTGATTTCTCAGGATCTATGCAGAGCACAGCAATGCTCCCTAGTCCTGCCCCAGTCAGTCTAGCACCAAGGAGCTAAATCTCTCTGCCTCTAACCCACCCTCTGGTGCCAGCTCTATGTCACATCTACTCCCAGTCTCCACACAGTGCCTGTCCATCAGCAGCAGAAGTCTCAATGAAATCACCCCTTTCAAATTAGGGTTAGAGCCTGTGAGACCACAGTTGTGGGCACCCAGTTGGCCCTGTTGGAGGGCTACTGTGGAGGAAGGTTCTCCCTCCTTCCAGTCAGATACTGGTAGGCAGCCTGCTGGGCATCCAATGACTGGACGTACAGAGGTCTGGCTGGACCTCCTGAGGATGACTCAGGAGGGCTTGCTAGTGTCCTGATGAGGTTTTTTTTTTTCTTTTTTTTTTTTTTTTTTTTTAATTAAAACACCTCTCAACAAGACCGCTTTCACCCAGGCCCCTCTGGGTCATGTAGCAGATTTATTATAGCCTTAGTCACTCTGGATTGCTCACAGTTGTTAAAGAAATGTGGCACTAGTTAACCTATCCAGAAAGCATATTAGACTGCCAAACATTTTGCACATTAAAATCAGATCCCGCTAACTCCAAGCACTGGACTGAATTCCCTATTCTTTACAGCCAACAGGCCATTTTAACAAAAACTCCGCACACTGCACAAGCACGAAATGCTGAGTGTTCAACCACAAAGATCTTGTTTTCATGTCCCAGTCAAAGACACCCCTGGCATGCTGCAGGCTAGGCTCTGTAGGCTACGTGTGGGTCCATCCTAAGGGGTCTAGCAGGTTTGGGTACCCCACAGCCATCTTCAATCCACAGGACCAACTGCCCATGCCCAGCCTATGGGAGGGGCCAGAAAAGGCAAAGTTACTGAAAATGTTTCTGAATTATTTCCCACGTCAGATAAATGCTCTACTACTAAGCCACACCAAGGTCTTTTTGTTTTCTCTATCTTATTTTTTTGGCACCAGGATTGAACCCAGCAGTACCTAACCACAAAGCCACATCCCCAGCCCCTTTTTATATCTTACTTAGAGATTTCTCCCTGAGGTGCTTAAGGTCTCGCTAAGTTGATGAGGCTGGTTTTGAACTTGAAATCCTCCAACCTCAGCCTCCCGTGATGCTGGGATTACAGGTGTGCATGTGCCACCACACCCAGCTCCTTTTTGCAGGGTCTCAAGGAGTTGCCTAGGCTGGCCTTGAATTGGAGACCCTCCTGCTTCAGCCTTTGGAGTAGCTAGAAGGCAGCAGTACACGCCTGTACCTGTCTCACAGATTTTTCTTGCTATCAGGAATTGAACCTAGGTGCTCAACCACCCAGCCCTTTTTGTTTTGAGAGAGGGTCTCACTAAGTTGCTTAGGGCCTAAGTGGCTGAGGTTGAACTTGCAATCCTCCTGCTTCAGCCTCCTGATTTGCTGGGATTATAAACATGCATTACCACGCCTGGCTTTAGGAGTCATTTAAATACAATCAATCAGTGATTTCTTTCTTGCATGTGCCACCACACCCAGCCAATCAATGATTTATTTCTTAAGATACATTTCACCTATCAGATTAAGTCAGAATGCATTAACTCCTGGATGATGGAATTTCTTTTCAATCAGGGAAGATATAAAAATTTGAGTTGGGCTTGGTGGCACATGCCTATAATTCCAGTGACATGGGAGGCTGAAGTAGGAGAGTCACCAACTTTGAGGACAATCTTGGCAACCCAGTGAGACCCTGTCTCTAAATAAAATACAGAATAGGGCTGGGGATGTGGCTCAGTAGTCAAGTGCCCCTGAGTTAAATGGCTGGAAGAAAAAAAAAATGACTAGGGATGTAGCTCAGTGATAACGCACCCCTGCATCCAATCCCTAATACGAAAAAACAAACACCCCAGCCCCCAACAACAAAAGGTCACACAGTTTACTTTTAAAGACTTAAGCATGAAGGCTGGGGATGTAGTTTAAAGGTGGAGTGCCTGCATAACAGGTCTAAGGCCTGGGTTCCAGTCCCAGTACCACCATGAAATTTTTTTTTTTTTTTTTTTTAGGTATGACCAACTCAGTAGTGCATACCTGTAATCACAGGGATTTGGGAGGCTGAGGGAGGAGAATCATAAGCTGGAGGCCTGCCTCAGCAACTTAGTGAGACCCTGTCTCAAAAAATAAAAAGGGCCGGGGCTGTAGCTCAGTGCTAAAGAGTCCCTGGGTTCAATCCCCAGTACTGAAAAAAATAAAATACTTTCTTTTTCTGGGGGAAGTACTGGGGTTGGAACCCAGGGTCTCTCTCTCTTGCACATGCTAGACAAGTGCTCTACTATCAAGCAACATCTCCAGCCCAAAGGTGTCCTTCTTTGTTTCACTGTTTGAGAATTTTCAAACAAAATGTCTAAAACATATCTTTCTTGGTGCTACACATGCTCTGCTGGTCTCCAATTCCTGGGCTCAAGCGATCCTCCTATCTCAGCCTCAGAGTAAGGCCCACAGGTAGGAACCACACCGGCTTTTGACCGGATTTTTTTCGGGGTGGGGTGGGGTGGTGTTCCAGGGATCGAACTCAGGGGCACTCGACCACTCAGCCACATCCCAGCCCTATGTTGTATTTTATTTAGAGACAGGGTCTCCCTGGGTTGCTTAGCGCCACACTTTTGCTGAGGCTGGCTTTGAAGCCGTGGTCCTCCTGCCTCAGCCTCCCAGGCCGCTGGCATTGCAGATCTCCGCAGGAACCTGATCCCAACCTGCCCGGCTCTTTTCTGGAAAGGAGACGAAAGCCAGGGGTTTCGAGGCCGGGGTGGGCCAGCAAGAGCTGGGCGCGCAGGAGACACTTACAGTCTGGACAGCAGCCATTGAATGCCATCCTGCAGATCCCACAGTTCTCGTCGTTGGCCACCCAGAGCCAGGTGGCCACGCCGTTCCAGCACTTGATCTTCACCTTCATGGCGGCGGGGCCTGCGGGCGAGGGCAGAGGGTTACCGGCTAACGTTATTCTGCGCAGCTGCAGCGTGTGGGCAGCGAGGCGGGCGCGGTGCCCGACGGCCGGGGCTCGGCGCTCGGCGCAGCGCCTGGGGGCCGCGTTCGGACGCCACGTCCGCAGGGCGCAGGAGCCACAGGCCGCTCTGCTCGCCGGGCTGTGGTCGGACCTGCGCCGGCCGCAGGGCGCACTGGTTCTCAGGGAGTCGCCACGACGCCGCGCGGAGTCTCCAGCGGAAGTGAGCGGGGAGGCGTGGTGGCTGCTCTCCCGCAGGCCCGAGGGAGGCGGGCTGGGGGCCTGGCCAACGCCGTTCGTCGCCCGAGGGCAGCTCTCCCGGACCCGCGCGCCCGCATCCCAACCCTCGGGCAGAGAGGGGCGCCAAGCCCCGCCCACCCTGTGCCCTCGCACCTACGCCGCCTAATCACGCGCCGCCCCGCCCTTCCGTTGGCGGCGCCGGCGTCCGCGCGGGAAGGTATAAAAACGACCGCACCGCGTCCGGCGCCTTCAGAGCTGCGCTCGCCGAGCCCCGCTCCCAGTGCGCACGCGTCTTCCCGCCCCGCGCGCGCCGCGGCCAATCGCCTGCCGCTCCGGGGTCTCGGCGCCGGAAGGCCACGCGCGGCGCCGGAAGTGACGCGCCAGCGTGCTGACGCGCGGGCTCGAGCTGAGGCCCGATTCCGCGCCCGCCATGGCCGACAAAATGGACATGTCTCTGGACGACATCATTAAGCTGAACCGGAGCCAGCGAGGCGGCCGCGGCGGGGGCCGGGGCCGCGGCAGGGCCGGCTCCCAGGGCGGCCGTGGAGGCGGGGCGCAGGCCGCCGCGCGGGTGAATCGAGGCGGCGGACTCATGCGGAACCGGCCGGCCATCGCCCGCGGCGCTGCGGGCGGCGGCGGCAGGAACCGGCCGGCGCCCTACAGCAGGGTGAGTGCGGGGCCGCACGGGCGCGAGCGGGCGGCCCGGCAGGCGCGGGCACCGTCTGCGGAGCCGTGGGCGGGGACGAGGTCGCGCCGCGAGGCCCGGCCCCGAGGCGGGGGTTCTTCCGCCGCTTTGTGCGATCCCGCCGGGCCCTCGTGGCGGCGGCGGCGGGAAGGCGAGCGAGCGGCCGCGGGCTTGCGCGGGAGGGCCGGCTGGCGGAGCGGGCCAGGGGCCCGCGGCGAGGCTCACGGGCTGTTCCGCTTGCGCTTTCCCTTCAGCCCAAGCAGCTTCCCGACAAGTGGCAGCACGACCTGTTCGACAGCGGCTTCGGGGGCGGTGCCGGCGTGGAGACGGGGGGCAAGCTGCTGGTGTCCAACCTGGACTTCGGAGTGTCAGACGCCGACATCCAGGTAGGAGCCCGCCGCTCGCGCACCGCGCGGTCCCGCTTCCCGCCTCGGGGCCGGGCTGGCGGCCGCCCAGGGCGCCCCGGCGCTGGCGAGGGCTGTCGGGCGGGGACCGCCGGGGCCCGAGGAGCGGTCGCGGGAGCGTCCTCCCGGACTTGTCAGCAGCACGGTCCCCAGGCCCATCTCTGGGGGACGAGGCTTTTTCCCTTTTTGATCGGACCTCAAAGTCATTTAAAGTGATTTGGGACCGGGACGTGGCTCGTGGCGGCGTGCTCGCCGCGTGTGCAGGGCCCCACTGCAGTCCCCAGCACTGCGGAACGAATAGGTGGCTCCGTGTTTTTCTGCTCAAGAGGCAGTATTGGTGATGGCTGGGGCAGGGTGCCGGGCCCCGCAGCCCGACCGTGTGACCTTGCCATGGGGACGGAGCAAGGCCAGTGAGCACTCACAGTGTCTCAACACTTTTTTTAAGGTGGTTTCTGGCATCCACTGGAAACCGCTTTTGGTGAACTCCACTTCCCTGCTGTGTGCCTGCGGCCGGAGCAGCCCCACACTCTGGGTTCCCTCTCCAACTCCCAGCCTGCCTGAGGTCAGGGCAGTTTCCATGGCGTGCTTGACCTCGGTCTTTGAGGCAGGCTTGAGTAGGAGGAGAGGGAAAGGTGAGCAGCCAGAATCTGCCTTTGGGGGAGGGCCTGGGGTCAGGGCTCCAGAGGCAGTGGGCCCTTTGAGCCGGCCTGGTCTATTGGACAGTTTCCCTTGCTCTTGGCCTTTTCTGTTTTGTGAAACAGCCCTTGAGTGTATTTTAAGTTTTCCATTGTCGAGAAAAGAGAGTGCCTTAATCCTTGTACCAGGGAGCGTTGCAACTTGCTTTATCTGCATGGTGGTACAAATGTCAGGTCCCCAGATGGGCAGGAGATTTCCTGACTCAGGTGCTCTTAAAAGTTGCTGTTTCTCCTAGCCCATCCCTTCCCTCAGTTTCTGTTACCTCTGCCCCATCCTCTTTGTAGATGGCTGCCAGGGATGTACCCCAAGCATTCATACTTGCAGGGACTGACCCTGGGCCAGTAGAGGAACACAGTGTAGCTGCCTTGTCAACACATGCTCTTTCTGACTCTTAGGAACTCTTTGCTGAATTTGGAACGCTGAAGAAGGCGGCTGTGCACTATGATCGCTCTGGCCGCAGTTTAGGGACAGCAGATGTGCACTTTGAACGGAAAGCAGATGCCCTGAAGGCTATGAAACAGTACAACGGTGTCCCTTTGGATGGTGAGTCTGGGGCTGGGCCCAGGATGCCTGTGGGGCTCGTGGAGTTTGGGGCTGGCACCTGTCCCTGTAGGAATATGGGTTGCCCCTCTGGCTGAGGACACTTTGCATTTGCCCCTTTGTCTCTCTCTTCCATTCTGCCACCTCTCATGCTGCCCCACACATCTGGACCAACCTCTTGTGAACCCCCATCCAGCAAGCTACATCCCTCCCCTCCTTCAGCTCCTTCCGGAAGATTCACTTCTGTGAAGCCTTCTCAGAACCGCCATAGTACACCTGAGTGCGGGGCTGTAGTCGTAAAGACAAAGGTACCTGTTCTTCTTCCGTCAGGTCACCCACACCTGTCCACCCATGAGCACCCTGGACATCTGAGCAAACAGCCCACCTAGCCTGGACTGAGAAGGAGTGAGGAGGTGTTGGTGGGGTTGTTGTTGCCATTTGTTGTTCTCCCACCAGACTCTCCAGGCCATTTCCCTTGTTGGGGGCATTGGAGACGCACAAAGGCCCTTTCCAGAGCTTGCATGGAGACCAGGGTATGGTGCCCCCTGGGCTGGCTTCAGAGCCTCTGGAGTGAGCCTTCTTATGTTCTTTGCCACAGGCCGCCCCATGAACATCCAGCTTGTCACATCACAGATTGACACACAGCGGAGACCTGTACAGAGGTGAGTTCCATGGTCTCTGGGGTCTGTGGAGATCAGCTTTGTTGTGTGGTCATGTTCCCCTCAAGGCTTTCCAGCTCGGTCATTGAGTTCTCTTTTCCTCGCCAGCATAAACAGAGGTGGTATGACTAGAAACCGTGGCTCTGGAGGCTTTGGTGGTGGTGGCACCAGGAGAGGGACCCGTGGAGGTAGCCGGGGAAGAGGCAGAGGTACCGGCAGGAATTCAAAGCAGCAGCTCTCTGCGGAGGAGCTGGACGCGCAGCTGGACGCCTATAATGCAAGGGTGAGTCCCAGCAGGCCACCAAGGCCACAGTGGGGGAGTGGGTCCTTTGGGGCTAGCAAAGCTAGGAATGGGCCGAGGCCAGGGCCTCCTGAGTGAACCTCCTCCCTCTGTTTCAGATGGACACCAGTTAAACAGCCGGGCAAACCGTGTGTGGAACAGGACCCAGACGTCTCGTCCCTGCTCCCTGGTGGGAGGGGGTGCTGGGCTGTGCAGCCAATGACGGATTTGTTTCTTTTATGTTTTAAAATAGGATTTAAAAACTCATGTAAAGGTTTTTTCTTTCTTTCTTTCTTTTTTTTTTTTTTAATTCTGAAACAGACCTGTTTTGTACCAAGTTATTTTTGGGATAAATTTTACTGGTTGCTGTTGTGGAGAAGGTGACGTTTTTCACCTTTGCCATAATAAAATAGAAACGTGTGTAGACCTGGAACTGTCTGGTCCATCCCGCTGCTACAGCCCTTGCCTGGCAGCGCTGGGTGTCTGCCCTGTGGGAGGGGAGAGTAGAGCCATCTGTGGCACCTGGCATGGGGTTGGAACTGTGCTTTGAAGGTGGTGGCTGCCACTCTCCTGTCCCCTTCCTCACCTTTCCTAACTCTTTACTCTCTGATTCCTAACTCTTTACTCTCTGGTGGGAGGACACCAGAGGCGCAGCGGCCCCTTCCCTAGAGCTGCCTGTTCTCTCTGCCTGTGCCACAAGATCAAGGGTGGGTGGGTCATCGGTGCAGTGTCTAGAGGTCTCCCATGACAGGCTGTTGGGCTATCCTTTCTCTTCTCTGCACTATATCGGGGAAACCTGGGCTCTGAGGTTCTGATTCTTCTGTGTGGTTCCAACTTTTCATAAATAGGACATACATTTTCCCTCTTACTTTTGTACAGTTGTGCAGATAATCAAATCCAGGGGTGTTTGAGTCCCTCTCGTACAGCAGCTTGGTGTGTGCATAGGTCCCGTGCACACTTTCCCAGAGACTTCTAAGTTGTCTCTAGGCTCCTTATGCCTGGTGCAAGGCACATGTTCTGCTATTGCTTGTTGTCCTGTAGTGGTAGGGAAGAGTTCTGTGTGTCCCAGCACACCCAATCTTCCTGGTGTCTGCATCCTTGGTTGGCTGACCAGGACATTGGAGAGCTGGTTGTGTTTGATAGTGATAAAGTAGGTCGTGGAAGTGAGGGCAGAACCTAACCTCCATGCCAGAGGGGGCAGGGCAACAGGGACAGCTTGACGTCACGTAGGTGATACTGTTTTGAGAATGGGTTGGACGTGGAGATAAGAGCTTTAGATCTTACCCTGCTGGTGTGAGTATTGTGGAGACTGAGGCTGGAGAGGGAGTTCACTCAGGGAACTGATGGCTCTCTCTGCAGACAGTAGGTTCCACTGGGCACATGCTGCAGACCAGCTCTGCTTCCAAGTTTGGTCTGACTCAGTCACGCAGGAGAGAGTGTGTCAGTTACAGTGACCCTACGTAAAAATCAGTGGCTGCCATCTGAACAGCCTTTCCCTGTGCCAGGAAGGGCCACTACTATTAACAAACAAGGTGACTCATTCTGGCTCTCTGAGGCGGCTCGTCCAGTAGGGGAAAGGACTGCTGCATGTCTGACTCTAGTTGCCAGAGCAGAGGAATAGATGAGAGTCAAGGCAGTCCATGCAGTGGGACAGAGGCTGTCCCTGAGAAGGTGGCCTCGACTGGTCCTGAGTGTTGGAGCCATACCTGCTGCCTAGCAAGCAGAGGAAGCACTTGGTAGGTGTACCTCACAGGGAGGAGCGAGGAGAGTTAGGGGCTGTGGCCTTCCTGGGAGGAAGGAACACCAGAATGATGTGAGGTGCAGTAGGTGTGTGTCAACGGGGAGAAGGCCGCAGGAAGGAGCAGGCTGAAGATGGCAGTCACGGATTGGCTATGTCACACACGTGGGAGGTGGGGCAGAGACACCCAGGTGTCTTGTATGAGAATGCTACTTTGAGTTGGACATCTTTGGTTTGGTAGCTGGCAAGTGGAAGTGGCTCAGAGGAAGGCGTTGGAAGAGATGGAAATGGGGTCACATCACAGGAGCAGTGGCTAATGTCTGCTGTGGGGACATAATTGCTGTTCAGAAGGTAGAGGACAGTGGCATGCGGGTGGCAAGCCTGACCATTTGTAATTAGTTTTGCTAGTGGGGCCAATCTGGAGGCCACCTGGCTTCCTTTTAAGTGGTGAGCAAAAGAGATGGGTCACCTACTTTCTGAAGTAGACCTTTGTTCCCAGTGGGCACCACAGGGAAGACCTCATTTGTCCTCTGAGCCACTTAGTCTGGGTATTTTTCAGGGAAGAAGATAGAGGCTCTTCTGTGGAGTGCACATGCTGTAGTTCAGGTCCTCTGGAGGCTGGTGCCTCAGTTTCCTGCCTAGAGAGGGAGGGTAAACCACTGACCCCAAGAGTGTTTGAGGAAAGGATGACTTGAGACTTGATGTTATGCAGGTTTTTCTCCTTTATGCTCCTCCCTCAGACCATGAGCTGCAGATGTTTGGTTGGCTGCCAGAGCCCTTCAGGTGCCTGGGGCGACCCAGTTCCTTTTGTAGCCCTGTGGTCTGCATGAGAAACTACAGTGATTGGCTCAAAGGAGGGCATGTGACTCAGGAAGGGCAAGAGGGGGGCTGAGCTTTCAGATGGGCTGAAGGAAGGAAAGGTCAGCAATGGGGAGAAGCAGCAAGTCCAGGTTTCAGAGCTCTTACCAGGTTAGCTCAGAGCACCCAGTGCTGACGTCAGCTCCGTGCATGTGGAAGTGGCTTTCTATTGGAAGCAGGAGGAGTGGAGCAAAGGCCCGCCAGACCCATGCATTGAGAAGGAGTTGTCCTCCCTTTGGAGTTCAAATCCTATTAGACCTAACCTGACCTCAGGCGCTGGGTTCAGTGATTCATGGTTTGGTTGCTATATGCAGACACCATTGTAATAATTTGTTTTGCTGTTTATACCTTGCAATGGGGTCATCTTGTAAGTTAGTAAGTTTTGTTCTAGCTTTCAGCAAACTGATGGTTTAAGTAGGAAACAAAACACAGTAATGATAGGTGTGATGGTGACAGAAGAAGTAGGGGGAGTGGAGGTGCAGTGGTCAAGTAGACGGAACAGCGCCGCTCCGTAGCAAGCTGCACAGCTGTCAGACGTCTGTTGAGGCCCTGGCCTGTGCCTTGTACTCTATTCAGTGTTCTATGTAGTTTTCTCCTCTTTTCAAAAATCTAGTGATATGATCTGTTCACTTTAGAACTTAAAGAAAATGAAGTTTATTAACTCACCCAACAAAAATTTGTGCACCCGTTGCAGGGATAAAAGCACTGAACAAAATACGTAATCTCTTAACAGAACTCTAGTACATTCTAGTGGAGAAAAGAGGAGGGCTGGAGCTGTCTCAAAAAATAAAATGGGCTGGGGATGTGCTCAGTGGTTGAGTGCACTTGGGTTCAATCTGTTACCCTAAAAAAATGATGAAAGGAAGTGAAGTACAGACACAGGGTATCCATTGAGGCCATGGAGGAAAACCTTGCAGGGTGGAGTTGTGAACCCTTGGACAGTGGAGGTGAAGCTCACTGGCAGAGGCAGAAAATAGCAAGTAGAAGAGCCCAAGGTGAGCACACACCAGGGAAGGGTAGGAACAGTCCCAAGACCCCAGTGCTGGGGCGGTGTAGGTGACCTGAGGCATTAATGTGAGGACACCAGCTAGGGGATGAGCCAGTGAGTGGAGGGCCAGAGTTGCACCCATGGCCAGTAGACCAGGGCCATCCGTGTTAGATGGCACTCCATCACTGAGCTCTGTCCCCAGCCCTGGGAATTGAGCCCACGGATCCATGTACGCCAGGCCAGGGTACTTCCACTGTGCCACACACCAAGTCTTTAAGTTTGTTTTGTTGGGGTGGGGGGATTGGGGATTAAACCCAGGAGTTTACCACTGAGCTATGTTCTCAGCCCTTTTTATTTTGAGAAAGGGCCTTACTAAGTTGCTGAGGCTGGCTATGAACTTGCAATCCTTGAGTTGCTGGGTTTATAGGTGTGCTCCACCATGTCTGGCAATCCTTTTCGTGTCTGGATAAGATAGAAGTTATCACAGAAAGACTTACTTTCCTGGGAAACTTGGAGGATTTCACTTGAGAACACTGATGGCCTTCATGGGGTTGAACACTTTTGGCATTAATCCATGCAACAAAATAGATTCAAATACTGATTTGTTACCAGGCCTGGCGGCCTTCACCTGTGGTCCTAGAAACAACTGATGTTCTTGAATGTGATGAATGCCTGTACTCCAGTCTGTTGTGCTGTTAGCTGCTGATAGGACCTTATAGGCTGAAGGGCAGTTGGAAGTTAGGTTTTTGGAAGCATGCCCTTGAAGGGGGTATTGAGACCCTGGCCTCTTTCACTTCTTGGCTGCCATCCTAAACTATGCTGCCATACACCCAAACAAGCTGCCAACAGCTCATGGACTGAAAGTGGAAGCCAAAATAAACTTTTCTTTGATTACATTGCTTGTCTCAAGTATTTTATCACAGTATCAGAAAGTTCAGTGTTGTTAAATTTAATAGAAATATGTATCTCTTGGGGCTGGGGTTGTGGCTCAGAGGTAGAGCGTTCGCCTATCATGCACGAGGCACCAGGTTCTATCCTCAGTACCACATAAAAATAAAATAAAAGATTTTGTGTCCACCTATAACTAAAGAATAAATGTTAAAAAAAATAAAGTGCATGCCTATTAACTACTTGGGAGGCTAAGGCAGGACGGCCCAAGTTCAAGGCCAACTGAACAACTTAGCTACACCCCATCTCAAAAAGGGTCGGGGCTGTGATCTAGCATCTCTCTTCAATCCTTCTGTTAATGTCAGCTTGTTTATTTAACTGAATGTTTGAAAAGCTACTATGTAATTTTGGTGTTCCTATTCGTTGAAAAGAATTCCTGTATAACTCTACCTAGACTCCCCAGATGATGATTTGCTGCAGTTTGTTCTCCATGTTTTCTGAGTGAATCGAGAGAAGAATGTAGACAGGAAACTTTATCCCAAAATCCTTCTGTGAGATTTATTTATTTAGATACTAGGGACTGATCCCAGGGGTGCTCTACCACTGAGCCCTTTTTATTTTTTACTCTGAGACAGGGCCTTGCTAAGTTCCTCAGGCTGGCCTGGAACCTGTGGTCCTCCTGCCTCAGCCTACTGAGTCACTAGGATTATAGGTATGTGCCTTTATGCCTGGCTCCATAAGTATCTTGAGATATTTAGGTGAATATCTGTTTTTCTTCATTTTTTTCCCCACTAATTTTAGCATCTGTTGGATCTCGGAAGCAACTGTCATGGCTTTTTATATTTTCCACATCCTTTGACACGTACTAATTGGAATTCTTGCATAAGCGGCAGCACTCCTTCTCCAGTGTTTATTTAGGTGGTTGTCAGGTCAAGATGGACGCCGTTGCTCCAGTGACTTT